GTAACCAATTTTGAATCAGGGAGCTCGCAGCTGTTACAGATTACGATCGTGGGAATAGACTTCTGACCTTGCAGGACAATGTATTCAGAAGCTCTGTTGAGTGCTTTCTGTAAAACAAGTGCCCTACTGGAACAGCTACATGAGAAGACGGATTTTATGACTGATGTGATTAGAAATTTTGGACAGGCAGTGGGATATTATATAGAGCCCACCCAGGAATTAGATCAGGAGTGTGCCCTGACAGAACAGATGAGGGAAGAGGATGTTGCTGAATCTTGGCTGAATTCTTGGATTTCACAAATGAACTTGGAAAAAGCCAGATTTGGAAAGATAAAGTTTGGTTTGGTTTGGAAATGGGGGTTGGATAGACCCCTATGCAGGGAGGTTTGGACTTTTCGAGTCTGGCAATGGGCCGTGAGATGTTTGGGATTGTGGGGCTCTCAATTTTGGAGGGTTTTTGAAACATGTTCTTAAATACCACATGGAACTTAGTGGGGACTATGGAAAAGGGGCTGATTTGTCGAGAAGGGTCAAAAGCATTGTCAAGCTGGAGTTCCCAAGAGTGAAAGAAGTAGGAGATAAAGGAAAATATAGCTATAAATATGAAGAAGAGCTGCGGAAGGGACATGGAAGAGACTTAAGGGCCTCGGACATAAGGTTACCAGGTTAATGCGCTAGATTGATGGGATAGAAAGGACTGACAAAACCCGGGTCCAGGAGGAAGAGACGCTGGATGAAGATTGGATTGTTATTTCTTTTATTATGATTGTTTTATAAAATTGATGAATGTTAGAAAAATGTTGGAACGAAATTATTTGGCTTTAGCAAAAATGTTTAAAGAATTATGTAAGAATATTATGGTTATGAGAAATTGGTAAAAATAAGATTTAAGTTTTAAGTTTTAAGGTTTTCATAGTAAGATAAGATTAAAATAGATTAAGGTAAAGTAATGACAGAATATTATGAAATATGGAAAGGATTTGCTGTGACAATTAATAATCAGGATACAAAAAAAGGGAGGAGGAGGAGGTCAAAGAAAGAAGGTAATGACAGTTAAAGATATGAGAATATTGGATTTGTTTTTAAATGTTTGTGGTATATTTTTGTTTTTTAATTGTGTCTTGTTATTTTTTGATTTTGATTTTGATTAATTTGTATTGTTTGACTGTGGTTTGTCTTTTCTTTGTTCTTTCTTTTTTTCTTTTTTATTCTCTTTTGTAATTTTAAAATTTTCAATAAATATCATTTAAAAAAAAATTTAAAACTGAATTTGTTTATTGTTTTATGGAGGCTGGCTATACACTGCTTTGAGGGTCAGAGAGGACATGGACAGTAGCCTAGAAAATAGATGTTGTGAATAAATGTGTAAAATGAATGAATGAATGAATGAATGCACACATAAATAACAGCGCCGACATAATATACTGCTCGAGGGCAACCACCTCACCTCGTCTCATGGGAGGGCCGGCTCTGCTTCAGGTAGTGTGGGGCAAGCCCATCTTTGGCTGATGCTACAGGGCAAGTGATTCAGACAACTTGCTCAAGGGAGAACAGGTGTCCGGTGGTGAGCAGAGAGAGGCTGTGTGATTCAGCCCTCAACACAGGCGATTTCTGAGGGCATCTTCTTCTTCCTCCTCCTCTAACAATCACCTGTTATATCATCGGGAAGTCTGCATTAATCTGAACAATGGATTTGGTCCTAGTCACTCGGCTATGAAAGAGCAAGGCGTGGGTGTTAACAAACACTTCCTGAAAAGCCAAAGCCCGGTAAATCCAGGGCAGGACTAGTTGAAATAAAAGCCAAGAAGGGCCTGAGAGACAGTGTCTTGGATTCCGGCAGCCTTTGGGGGTAAGACATCTCTATGCTTCTATGGCTTTCTGTTTTCAAGGTCTGAAAACCACCTTAGGTGTATTATTTTCTGGGTAGTGCATTTTCTCTGGGACATCTATTCAGGTTCTCCTGTGGAGGCAGTGGGAGTTAGCTGACAGGAGATCTCCATCTTGATAGCCAACACCCTGATTTATTTGTTTCCTTATCTGAAATATCTGCAACTTGGTGAATCTGAACAGATCTGGGCAGGCTGCACAAATTCCTGTGGATGCAGCCTGCAGTCAAGGAGCGTCTCCCCAGCATAACCTCTCAGCGAGGAGCTGCCTGCTGTTGACTCAAATTGATACGTCTTTCTGCTTTCTTGTTGGAGTCTGCAAACCATAGATATATCTCTAGGCTGTCTACTCAACAGCTTTCTGTGCAGGATTTGAAAAGGTTTGTTATGTTGCATGATAAGAATGGCACAGACTGAGTCACTCTGGAGTGATTTATATTGTTTCTTTGTTCTGCTTGTTGCCCTGCAAGAACTATTGATTGATTAGATCTAGATCCTGGCATCTTTATTTGCTCGCTTTCTAGAGGGCATCTGTATGGTGCAGTAATCAGAACATCCTCCTCTCATGTTTTACCTGTTCAGTTTCTTTTCTTTTTAACCCCAGACCACAGAAAATCTGACAGCAGCAGAATTTGCTCAGGCAGAGATGACAAAACCTCCAAGTGCCCCAATTTTCCAGGGACAGTTCAAGAATTACAAAGCCACCCCGGGTTCTGATTTGATCCTTGTTGTTGTTTAGTCGTTTAGTCGTGTCCGACTCTTCGTGACCCCATGGACCAGAGCACGCCAGGCACTCCTGTCTTCCACCGGATTTGATCCTGGAATGTCCCTAATTTCTCTGACAATGTTGCTGCCACGAACCTTGGGGAGGAGGGTGAGCTGATACTTGCCCTGAGTGGCGGCTGACAGGGAGCATCCTGTTGCCTCTCCATGGCCTCTCCATGGCCGCCGCTGGTGACTTCCTCCCTTGAGCAGCTCATAGTGCAGGGGTCAGCAACCTGCAGCCCATGGGCCGCAAGTGGCCCACAGAGTTTGTTTAAATGGCCCACAAGCCACCCCCGAACTGAGCTGCCTGCTTGGTCAGTCCCTGTGCACTGTGCTAAACCGGCGCAGTGTGGAGCAGGGACTCACTTCCGTTGCGCCAGAAATCGCATCTGCGCAGACGCAGATGCCAGAAATCATTTCTGCGCATACGTGGTCCGGCCCATGGAGCGATCTCCTTGGGAGTGAACCGGCCCAGGTGAGGTAAACCTTGCCGACCCCTGTCGTAGTGGGTGAGGAGGAGGAGGAGGAGAGGCTGTGGCCACCAAGAACCAGCCCTGCTTGATGCACTGGTTCCAAGTGGCAAATCGTTTCCAGATCACATTGCCATTTATATATATCTGTATTCAGTCCCTAAATTGAAGTGTGTGTGTGCTTGCTTCCAGACAGGTTTATATTGTAGGATAAGTGTTCCTTATGCATGCAAGTTGTTGTGGGTTTTTTTTGTAGGGTCCACATGCCATCTTTGACACCAGAATGCCTTTTGGATTGGGGAACCCACCCACCCCCCCTTTTTAAAAAACACCTCTTGCCAGCAGCCTGTTAAGAAAATCTGAATGACCCGTTTACAACATTAAGCCTGGAAGCACCTTGTGTGCTTACAGAGAGTGGGGCTCATGATCAGGAATGCAGTGATGGAGAAGAGAGTATTTAACCCTTTTGCTCTCCACAGTGTGATCCTAATGAAAATCCACCCTGACAACTAAAGCTGGGGAGAGGCGAACTGCCCTCTTGGTTACAACAGGTTGTTATTTGGATTCCAGAAGTGTGGAAGCTGAGTTGCTAATCCACAACCCTCTTATAGCAGAACAGCCATGGTTGGGGACTGGCAAATCACTCATGTCTGGAAGCAATCTTGGAAAAGATCAGATATAACTACCAAAGTGGCTTGAGATGGACTTCAAGCTAATTACTAACTCCACTGTCCTACACACTGTTCAGAATGAAGTGGTAAAATCTGAATGGTACCATCTCAGAGTGCAGGTGTATCTCTGCATGTGAGAGAGATACTTTTGAATGCTCCTCCGCATAAGAATTTTTCTACCTATAGTACCGTAATCTAGCACACCAGGGAGAAGTGGCTGCACTTAACCTTTCTCTGTGATGTCCTAGTTTACCATGCAGGGAAAATAAGGAGCATTTATGTGCAGGAACAATTGAAAACAGGACCTCCTACCTGTGATATAAAATGGCAGAGTCTGACATCCTTCCATGTCAGTCTACTGGTCCAAAATATAGCAGCCAGGTAACTTGCTGGGATTCCATTTAGATCACACTAAACTCCCGTTTTATTTTAAAACACCTGCCTTGGTTGGCCAGTTTGTTTTCAGGCCCAATTTAAGTTGCTCACGTTAGTGCTTAATGCCCTAAGGAAACCAGGGCAGATGGAGCCCTCTGGGTTGCTCCACTGCTCTCAGAAACCTGTGGGGTGGGGTGGTCCGGGAGGTGGCCTTCTCTGTGGCAGCCCCTATGTTGTGGAATTCCCTCCCCACAGAGGTGCGCCTGGTTTCTTCACTCTGCAGCTTTCAGTAAATGCTAAAGGTGTACCTCTTTCCTCTAACCTTGGGCACCTGAGATGTAAATTTTTATGACCCACCCTATTTTTTTGTGGTTGCCCTTTTTAGAATTGTATGTTTTAAAAACTGTTTTCATGTTGCATTTCCAATTGTTGTAACCCATGCTGGGAACTTAGGGTGAAGGGCCAGTAATTAACAACAACAACAACAACTGTAGCCTTATTGGAAAATGGGGGGGGGATAGAGGTTTTGGTGCAGTTTCAAACTGCCTGCACAGTCAGTTTTGGGCTTGGGAAACCCATTCCTTCACAACAACAACACCTCATTCTGTGTAAAGGGCAGAATGGCTCTCGGTTATTTTGATTCACATCTCACACTTGTGGAGTTCTGGTGAAAAGAAAAGGAGCAAGTTTTTTGGAGGCTCTTTGCTATCTTCAACCGTCCTGCTTTCTCCTTGTCTCTGGAACTCCTAGAACAATGGAATGATTGCATTATTGTCTCCTCTCTTACAGGACAGCTTATTCCTGGAAAGAATTGCACCCCACCCCCAACCACCATGTCGTCTCATTTACTGGAATTGCTGGCTGCCATTTTGTTCCTGGTGTCTCCTGGTAAGATCTGTAGGGCAGGCAAAATAAGTGTGCGATGTTGTTGTTGTATTTTTAGGTGTGGTAAGTATGTTTGAGAGTATACGGGATAGGATGCATCTAGTGGTTGAAAAATATATGGAAACATTTAAAAGCTGTATGTTGTTTTTTGGCCAACCACTGAGGTTAGATCAATAGATCCACGAGGGCAGGGAATAGTGACAGCAGCACTGAGAGCCAGGAAAGTAGCACTGATTTAGACATTCTTTTCCAGTAGAATGTGGTGCTGGAATCCTGAGGTAGGAGGGTGGACTGTACCATTTTAGACTACAGGAGGGTGATGTTAAGAACAAGTCCAACAGGGAGTGGACTATTTTCTCCCTGAAGGTTTTACGTTTAATCTTTTTGATGTGGTAATGTGAAGAACTGATCTTAAGACTGGGCTAAAAATGAGAAACCAAGGGAAACGAAAACTGGCAGATTTTTCTTTAACAGCAACATGGTTTCCCAGTATTGCTGTGGGTGTGGTCTCTTCTTCCTTCAATTGCCATCACAAGGCTACCCAAGAACCATTATGTTTTGAGGAAAGGAGAGATCTGGCTTTCATAAAGGCTACACCCAGTTGCTTGTCTTATTTGTTTTAATTCATGCGTTTTGTCTCAATATTTTTATGTAATCCACCTTGTGAGGTTAGTCAGAAAAGCAGGATGTAAATATCTTAAATATTAGCTAATAAATGGAAGTGGAAGTGGAACATATGAACAAAATTCCCTCCGCCTCAGATTGAACTTTGCCTCCTCCATCAAACCTCAGTACAGTGGTACCTCGGGTTACATACGCTTCAGGTTACATATGCTTCAGGTTACAGACTCCGCTAACCCAGAAATATTACCTCAGGTTAAGAACTTTGCTTCAGGATGAGAACAGAAATCGTGCTCCAGTGGCACAGTGGCAGCAGGAGGCCCCATTAGCTAAATGGTGCTTCAGGTTAAGAACAGTTTCAGGTTAAGAACAGACCTCCAGAATGAATTAAGTTCTTAACCCGAGGTACCACTGTATATACGTTTCTTTTTCTAGTATGGCAACTGGTATCTCCTAAAAACATAACTTGTGAAGTATGCCCTTGGTCATACACCCATTCCTCACCAAAGTGCAACTTAGGGGGTGTTCACAAATTACATTTGACTAGTGTACCGTCTGTGTGCATGTATACATGAATTTCCCAGACACAGCCAGCAGTCAGCCATCGGAAGCAATGTCTGGGCAGAAATCACTTGCATGTCTGGGAAAATCTGGATGTTTGGCAACCCATGTTGGCAGTATTGCTTTTGATGATTTTCCTTAAAAAAAGCTCAACAACTTTCATCCCCACTGCCCCCCCCCAATTCTGTCCGGATTTTCACTTCTTGAAATATGCCGATCCTTTTTGCATACCCAAAAAGCGGAGATGTACATTTGCAGTTATTCACGTGTCATATTCAACATGTTCAGCAAGTGTACCGTCTGTGTGTCTGTGTGCATAATAGCTGAGCTGTACAAATCAGCTAGTGTACACTCTTTCACACAAATGCTTGTACGTGTGCAGAGACAGCTTGTGGCCGCATTCTGTGCACTAGGTGAACAGTCCTGTGATCACACAAAGTTGTTTGATTTGTCTAATTTATTTAACAACATTCAGATTGCTGCTTGGTTGTAAGGAAACCTCTGAGTGGTTTACAACAATATAAAACAAAACATTGAAATGATTGATAAAAACAGGTATTTGAAAACATTCAGAAGATGATTAAAATCAACGGTACTTAAAAAGAAACAAAACACATGTAACTTCGACATGTCTGGATAAGCTTGCCTAAAGAAAAATGTTTTAGTCAGGCACTGGGAGGAGCACAGCGAAGGCGCCTGCCTGATATCAACAGGCAGGGAGTTCCAAAGATCCGTTTCCTACAAGTGCAGAATGCGTATTATATGTCGCAACGGCACTTGTAATACTGCAAGTTCTGCATTTCAAAGTGACCAAGAAGGTATATATGGGGTAAAACAATCCCACAAGTCAACAGATCCCCAGCTGTTAAGTGCTTTATATACTAATAGTAACATACCCTCCAAAATTTCTCCAACGAAAATAGGGGCATCTTAAGGAAAAGTGGGACATTCTGGGATCAAATCAGAAACCGGGATGGCTTCTCTAAATTGGGGATGTCCGTGGAAAATAGGGACACATAACATATTGAGCTTCGTTTATGTGGCAAGATGGTAATGATTTGTGGTTTTATGTTCTTCCAGCTGCCACAGCAGATGAAAACCGGATAATTGGCGGGGGGCCTTGTCCGATCAATTCCCAGCCCTGGCAGGCCGCACTTTTTTCAGGCTTCAGACTGCACTGTGGAGGGACCCTGATCACCAACAGATGGGTGCTCACCGCTGCCCATTGTAAATTGGGAGTGTAAGTGTACATGGGCGGGGAGAGGGCTGGGGGTTTGCGTGTGCATGCGCACACATATGAATATCAATATTTGCGCATTTGTGAACATGAGAGGCACCGTATTATTACACTCACCAAACATTTAAAGCACTATGCTACCTCTTCAAACAGTCATGGTTCACCCCCAAATAATTATGGGAGCTGTGGTTTGTTAAAGGCACTGAGAGTTGTTAAAAGGTAAAGGGACCCCTGACCATTAGGTCCAGTCACGAACGACTCTGGGGTTGTGGCACTCATCTCGCTTTATTGGCTGAGAGAGCCAGTGAACAGTCATGTGGCCAGCATGACTAAGCCGCTTCTGGCGAACCAGAGCAGCGCATGGAAATTCCGTTTACCCTCCCGCCGGAGTGGTACCTATTTATCTACTTGCACTTTGACGTGCTTTCAAACTGCTATGTTGGCAGGAGCAGGGACCGAGCAACAGGAGCTCACCCCATCGCGGGGATTCGAACCACTGACCTTCTGATCAGCAAGTCCTAGGCTCTGTGGTTTAACCCACAGCGCCACCCGCGTCCCACCTGAGAGTTGTTAGGAGAGCCCTAAATTCCCCTCACAGAATTTCATTTTCCAGAGTAGTCTTAATAATCAATCCCTTTCCCCAGGGAACTTATCACATCTAATCTCAGGGGCATTGTTACAGTGGGGCCTCACCCCTGCTTTTTTTTTTTATGAATTTTTTTCCCCAAACATTGTTTTACTTTGATTATAGGAAGGCTGGGCACTGTACTGTTGCGTTTCCAGCCACCCACAGTCTTCATATTCCAGAGGCATCGATACAGACAAATTAGGATATGCAAATGTGTTACAATCTTGTGACACAAGTACCTAGCAAGGCCCCTGCAAATCATATGCAAGCATGCGTCGACCAAGCTGAAGGCACGCATTACGAAACTTCAACATGGAAGGCATTTCCACACAGCATTAATGTAAATCTCACGTATAGTCATTGTGAGTGATCTTTCTTGGCAATGGAGTCTTGCTTCTGTTCTCAATCCTGCATAAGTGGCGTCCAGCAGCTGCATCCAAAAGAGCTAATAATAATGGGCATTTGTGCAGTGCTTTTGAATGTTCTATGAGCTTCGCCTGCACTGTCTCACTGCAATTCATACAAAGCATGGATGGGGGATTCTGTGGCTATCCAGAATCTGTTCAACTCCAACTCCTATCAGCTTCAGGAAGGATGGCCAATGCTCAGGACTGATGGGAGTTGGAGTCTAGCAGTATCTGGAGGGTCACAGCTTCCCCATCCCTCCTGTGAAAAAAGTAGATGTACTTGACCATCTCTGTGAACCGTCCTGAGACCTCTGGATATAGGGCAGTCTATAAATTTAATTCACCACCACCATCATCTCTTTTTTCACTGCCAGGTAGAGTTGCCAACTTTTCTAAAGGTGCTGCTCCTATTCTTTTAGCAACAGTCTGGCATGGATGTTGGAAAACGTTGCATCTGCTGGACTTCTGCGATGCTGTTAAAAGTGCAGGATCAAGTCCAGTAAGAAAAACAAAGCAAAGCACTGTTGGCAGCACTCCTACCAGCCTAACTTGCCATTTATATTTATTTGCTCCTAGTCCTTTTCCTGTCCGTCTCGGGGAACATCACCTCAAACAACTGGACTGGTCTGAGCAGCTGAAACTAGCCTCAAAAGTCATTGTGCATCCAGGCTACAACTCTCGGACCAAGAACAACGATATCATGCTTGTCAAGTTGCTGACCCCGGTTTGCTTAAACAAAAAAGTCAACGTCATTGATTTGCCCACCAGCTGCCCCGTGCCTGGGACCCAATGCCTCGTTTCAGGATGGGGTACCACGACAAGCCCCCAAGGTATGTTGCCTTTTAAAGCGCGTCCTTTCAACCTAACAATTATTTCTTATTTTATTTCATGACATTTTAATCCCGCCCTTCCTCCCAAAGGAGCACAGGATGGCAAATTACAAAACAGTTAAAAACAAAGTAATAATACCCATTTTCCAAACAATCTTCACCCCTAAATACTTCCAACCAGTGGCGTAGTGTGGGTTGCCAGTGTCCAGAGCCACGCAGAAGGAGGGTTGCAGGGAGGGAAACTAACGGAGTACGCATGCACATTCAACTGCCTAATGGCATCTGCATCACCCAGGTGATTGCAGCTGCAGAGATAAGAAAAGAAGAGTCTTTGGTAAAATGTGTATATTTGTGAAAGTTGTGTACATTGGCAGAAATTTGTGCTAAAATGTTGATGAGTTTTCATGAGGAGTTTTTAAAAAAGATCGAAAGCCTATGTGGAAATGTGGAGAACTGAATTTAAGATTGAAAAAACTGAGAAACTGAGAGAAACCGAAATTAATAGATTGGTACTTCCCCACTTGTACCAAAGGCTACAATCCTTTACTCATTTCATTTGTTAGTCCCTATCCCTATCCCTATCCCTACCCCAAACCCACCATTTCTCTTATGGACGTCCTCTTCTGAGGAACAGGACAGACATCACTGGGTGAATGAGATGGCTGTGATGACGGTCTGCATGCTTGAGGAATTTGTGGATTCTGATATGAATTAATCTGAACTGCAATCTCCAGTAAAGCCTGCAGACTGGAACGCAGATTTCATACTTCTCTGACTTTTGTGCTGCAGTTTCATCTTTTTTTTTTTTTAAAAAAAGGCATGTATGTATGTTAGGATAAAGTGCATTTAGAAATGCATACTTTGAGAAAAAAGGTGTTCAGAAATGCATAAGATGTCAGGTCCTGCATCTCCTTCCAGTCATCGGACCAAATGACCCCAAGTCCTAGTATAATAATAATAATAATAATAATAATAATAATAATAATAATAATTTATTATTTATACCCCGTCCATCTGGCTGGGCTTCCCCAGCCACTCCGGGCAGCTTCCAAAAAAATATTAAAATACTGTAATACATCAAACATTAAAAGCTTCCCTAAACAGGGCTGACTTCAGATGTCTTCTAAAAGTCTGGTAGTTGTTCTCTTTTGACATCTGGTGGGAGGGCGTTCCACAGGGAGGGCGCCACTACCGAGAAGGCCCTCTGCCTGGTTCCCTGTAACTTCGCTTCTCGCAGTGATGGAACCGCCAGAAGGCCCTCGGTGCTGGACTTCAGTGTCCGGGTAGAACGATGGGGGTGGAGATGCTCCTATGAGAAGGAGCGGGGGATACTGCTCTGTCCCCACCCATTCTGTAATGTTTGACACTCTCTCCAAACACTGTGTTGTTGTTGCTTTACAGCAAGCTTCCCCAGTGTTTTGCATTGTGCAAACGTCACCATTGTTGGTCAAGACGTCTGTCGGTCCATTTACCCTAATTATCTCAATGAGAACATGGTTTGCGCTGGCAGTATGGAAGGAGGCACAGATGCTTGCCAGGTGAGTTGAATTGATTTCCACTAAGCCTGAGAATATTCCTGAGGACTAGGTGAATGCCAGTGGACAAAAGTGTTTTCTGGAATCTTGTAGATTAGCACTCTTTAACCTTTTAAGAAAATCCACCTTTAGCCCAATCAAGCATTTGAGGTTTTTAGGTCTTATTGTGATAGCTCTGCTGTTGTGATCTGTCTTAGGTTAAGATTCAGTGTCGGGTCACATCCTACCAATTGAAGACCTGTACTAGTCAGGAAGCTAAACAAGAACTTTATTGTTCCACTTGAAGAAGAACAGAACAGCAGATAGAACTAAGTCCAGTGCCACCTAGTGATGAAGCTATAAAATTATGCTTCTCATACAGCAGGAAATCAACTCTACAAGCCAAATGAGGCAGAGATGCAGTGAAACAAGAAATGAAACCACAGAGCAAATTGAATCAAGTGATAAAATTAACCACCAAAAGCAGTAAAACAAGAAACAGAACCATACGACAAACTGAATTAACCACCGGAATTAGCCACTGAAAGATAATTGCTTGCTGCTTCTGCGATTTCTCTCATTTATCTGGGCTTTTATCAGTGTCATCTTGGTGGTTAATTAAACCTGTGGTGTGATTTGGGTTTCCTATTTCACTATAGCTCTGTTTGGTAGGGTTGAGCCATGAAGCTGGCCTCCCAAAAGTGACATCACTCCTCCTCAATGAGCATTAGGACCAGTGAGGGTCTTGCCTTAGTGAGAAGGGGCATAGCCTAGAGGGGTGTGTGCGTATGTCCCAGTGAGAGTCCCAAGGGCCAGACAGAGAGTCACATTCAGCCTATGGGATGGAAATTCCTCACTCCCAGCACAGTCTTCAAAACATCTTCTGTTCTAGATTCACCCTTGATATTTCTAACAAGCTGCCTGAGACGAAAGACAGAATGGTGCCCTCACCAATTCACATACAGAAACTGAACAAAGTGGCAGCTGAATCTTACTTCAATACTGCTGATAGGGTTGTAGGTAAGACTAGTCCTACTCTGAGTAGACCCATTGAAATGAACAAACATGTCTAAGTTAGAGCCATTCATTTTGATCAGGCATAGGCAAACACTACAACTCCCATCCCATCATGAGATGGGACCAGTGGTCAGGGATGATGGGAATTGTAGTCTCAAAACATCTGGAGGGCCGAGTTTGCCTATGCCTGATTTTGATTGATCTACTCAGAGTAAAACTTAGTTGTATACAACCCATAGTCCTCCACTACCCATGAGGATGGCAAGCCATATAGTACATGGAGCTTCTTTGTCTGCTACACCTCAATACCACCCTCCAGCATTTGCCACCTGAGGCGGCTGTCCAAATCTGCCTAATAGTAGGACAGGCCCTGTCCCAACAATAAACACACACCACTAATTAGTTATAAGAAACTTTGAAGATCTGCCACAGGCCTTGTGCAAATCATTCTCCCTGAGCTTTATTTACCTCACAAGTGAACTGTCAGTGAAGGATCTGGAGAAGTGATTGTGCTTTGTTTTATTTTTTTTCTACAGGGTGATTCAGGCGGCCCCCTTGTCTGCAACGGGAAGCTGCAAGGGCTTGTATCATGGGGGCCCCAGATTTGTGCACAACCTAGGAGGCCTGGCGTCTATGTGAATGTATGCAGATATGTGGACTGGATCCGAGAAACTATCCGCAATAACTGATGATCCTGTGGCAGTTGGAGCAAAGGAAGCTGCCTTATACCAAATTAGAGCACTGCTCCATCGAGTTCAGTACTGTTTACACTGACCAGAAGCAGCTCTCCATTGTTTTAAGGTAGAGGTCAATCCCACCCTTTCCTGGAGATCCCAAAGACTGAACCCACCACCAAGTGCTCTACCATTAAGCTACGGCTGCTCCTCCAGCCCTGAACAAACTCTGAAGTGAGGGGGGAACATGCTTGATGTTTTGTTATGGACTTCACTAGACTCCCCTAAGTTGGTTTGCAGTGTTTGTGACACTTTTGTGGCGCTGTGTAAAAATGTACTATAATAAAACCTGGTCTTGACCACCAAATCTTCTGCTGCCCTCTGAAATCACCTCAAGCTGATGAATGCTTTTTGCTAAAGGACCAAATTAGACACACCACCACTTTTTGTGCAATTAACAACAAATGCCTTTTGAAACGTAAATTGCAGGTGTGGGGCCCCCAGTCTGAACTGGGACCCTAGCATGCAGGTTGGGGGTAGGGATGGAGGAGAAATTTGATTCCTGGCACATTTAAAAGCAAACTTATCTAATCTGCACTTTCCAAAACAAGATCTCAACTGAAATACAGCCATCTTTCAAAATCCAAAATTTTGCAATGCATTTCTCCAGTATAAAAACACATATACTAGTGTAAAGTGTACATATGTGTAAATGCATATATTAGTGAAAATAACACATAGAAATGCATCGTGAAAGGGGATATTGTTTGAAAAAATGTGTATTCTAGTAGGGTTGCCATATTTCAATCCAGGCACCTTTTTTTTTGCCAAAGCTGTTGAACTATTTTTGCAAAATCTTGGAGGGGGGGGAATTGAAGTTTTTAACCTATTTTTAAAGGGAAAATTGCCAAAAAAAAATCAACACCTACATCAATTCTACCCAGATGCTATTTTCAATGGGCAGATCCCAGTTATGTCTGGGAAATTCCAGACATATGACAGTCCTAATTCAAGTCAAAACTGTCCCTGAAATTGTGTTTATTAGGAGAATTTCACACTAAAATGCTGACAAATTTTCATGCGTTTTTAAAATAAATCACAAATTGCTGCAGAAATGTGAAAAACTGAATTTAAGATGGGAAAGATAAGAAATGCAGACACACATAACTGGCAGATTCATTCATACCAGGTTTGAACCTTTACCCCCACCAGCAATTTATTTAAAAAAAAAACCCCATTCACACAATTGCTAGGCTTTGGGTTTAGTTTGACTCTAACTCTCTCACAATAGCAGCTCTCAGTGATGTGACTCTTATTGCCTGAAATCCAGTGCATCTCATTTTTAACAACAGGAAGACTTTTGGATTTGGATTTGATATCCCGCTTTATCACTACCCGAAGGAGTCTCAAAGCAGCTAACATTCTCCTTTCCCTTCCTCCTCCACAACAAACACTCTGTGAGGTGAGTGGGGTTGAGAGACTTCAGAGAAGTGTGACTGGCCCAAGGTCACCCAGCAGCTGCAGGTGGAGGAGCGGAGACGCGAACCTGGTTCACCAGATTATGAGTCCACTGCTCTTAACCACTGCACCACACTGGCTCTTTTGATCAATCTATGCCAAAACTCCAGCCTCTATTTGAGATCCCCAGCTCCTTTACAGAACTACAGTTCCCATAACCTCTTGGTGGGGGAAAAATGGCAGCTGGTCTATAGCTAGATTTATCTGTTTGTTACAAGTGCACATATACACAAACTCACAAGCCCTATTCATGAGTTCATAATAGGAATTACTTCAGGAAAGGAGAACCATTTTGGGCCTGAGGGCTGTGTTCTCTTCTGGGCAACATTCTAAGGACCACATTATTGTGGTGAGCGGCACCAGAAGCAAAAGCAAGTAGATTAATGAACGTAAATGTTGCCTTTGTATAGTACTCTAGTTTCTACATGCTCAAAAACCACTCTCTATCAACCATCCAGACAAGCAAGAGGCATTATCAGAGTTCAAGGACATATTCCAGTCAGGCAAGAACACTCAGGGTGGGAAGCAGAGCTAGTATGTGGCCCCCAGGTCTGAGGTGTCCCACCCCTAACTTAAATAAGCAGACAAGAAAGGGGGAGCATGAACAATCACCCCCTGTCCTCAGCACTCTCCACATTTTCAAGGGCAACCGTGTGCAGCAGGGGAAGTCTGTACTTATGGAGGCTCCTGTGTTTTGGAACCTATTATTATTATTGTTATTATTATTATTATTATTATTATTATTAATTACTTGTATCCCACCCATCTGATTGGATTGCCCCCGCCACTCTGGGCAGCTTCCAACAGAATATAAAAAACACAGGATACACCAGACGTTAAAAGCTTCCTGATACAGGCTGCCTTCAGATGTCTATGGAAAGTCGTATAAATGGTTATCTGCTTGACATGTGATGGGAGGGCATTCCACAGGGTGGGCGCCACTACCAAGAAGGCCCTCTGCCTGGTTCTCTGAAACATCACTTCCTGCAGTGAGGGAACCGCCAGAAGGCCCTCGGAGCTGGACCTCAGTGTCCGGGTTGAATGATGGGAGTGGAGACACTCCTTCAGGTATCCAGGGCCAAGGTCATTTAGGGCTTTAAAGATCAACACCAACACTTTTGTGCTCAGAACCGTTTCCTCCCTGGCCCCATGGGCCCTGGAATCATGCACCGCTCAGAGGTTGGGGAGGAGTGCAACAATATCTTGTCATTGTGCTTCTTCTACAGCACAGTAAATCATAAAACATGCATTAATGATCCCCTGAAACAATGCCCCGGGTTGGAACACCCTGAATGACAACCTGGAAGTGTGAGATCACCCATAGCCGTGGGTGACCAACCACTCCTCTCCTCACAAGAAGGAGAAGGGAGTGACTGGGACAATTGTTCCATGCATAAAGAAACTGTCACACAGTGTCCCAACACCAAGGAATTTGAACTTTAGCACCCAAACCATGAGTTTACACAAGCCCCAGGGCGAATCCAAAGTGGATGATTCCCACAATTATTTATCACATTAAGATCAGCCTTCGCAGACCTGATGTGCTCCAGTTCCCATTAGCCCCAACTAGCACGCCTACAAAAGATGAGCTTGGGAATGTGTGGCTGCTGGTCCTGAGGCAGTATTGTTTTATTTAAAACAATGCATGCAGAGAACAATGCAAGCAGAGACTCCTGCCAACCTTCTGATCGGCAAGTCCTAGGCTCTGTGGTTAAACCCTAGGTGGAATCTACACATATATAAAAAAACGCTGTGAAAATGCTTTATAAAAAAAAACGTTTTGAAAAATATATTGAATTTGCCATAGCTCTCTTTCACCATCTAGTGTCACATTTGTATACTGCACCTTACAACACGCTTAAAACATTTTATTTGCAGCAGTATAGTTGAGTCCCTAAGCTGGATCAGATTCCTGGGATCTCAAAGAGCTTCCTCTTCAGTCAACTCTCAGCTCGCAACTCTCTGCAGGAGAGTGTGTGCTCCTTTCCAACATTAACATCAGTTCATTAAATTAACATTAAATGTTCATTAAATCCCTGGCTATTCATCACCTGGCCATTGATAGTACTCAAGATATTAAAATGTAACAAGATCTTCTGATCTTTCCCTATAATGGGCATGGGGAACCTCTGGCCCACAGGACAAATGAGGACCACAAGACCATTTACCCCGCCACACCCACCTGTCACTCACCTGGTGCCATCTGATGTCAACGGTGTGTCTAGTGAAGCCACAGAGGCAAAGGAACCACTGGGAACCTTAGAGTGTGCACTGCGCAAATTTATGATGGAATGTCAGGGCTATGTGATGTCACATGATGCCATGTGACTGACCCCATCCTACATGTTTGGTAATCTCTGAGGGCCAAGTTGCACATACCTGATTGCATTGCCCATACCTGCTTGCCAGCCTTTTTAAAACAAATAAGCAGACTGTATTAGAACGCAAAGAGAAATTAAACCATTATTAAGCACATTGATGCAAACAATCCTCCATCCTTTTGCCACTCCCTTCCTTCCTCACCCTCTGTAGCCTCACGCCCACTGTTGGAATTTATTTAAATAAATAATGTGGTTTAGATTTATTTAAATAAATAATGTGGTTTAGATCCTCAAGGCAGGGACCTCGTCTTTCTTTGCCTCTGTAAAATGCCACGAACATAGTAATTATTTGAATCCTGGCACCAGCAGGCTTGGGCAGTGCAGCAAGAGCCAAGCACAGCCCTCTGTTTACACCTGCACTCCTTTAAATAAGCGGCTGAGTCTGAGAGTTGCCAATTTAGTTACCCTCAAGGTCTCCTGAATAGCACGGGGAAATTCAGAAGGGAAAATCCCAGCTGCCTGGGGCTGGTGCAGAGTATTTCTGTTGCCACTGCTCACAGACCTGTTTGCCCTCCACAACCCTGGCACTGATTATTTATACAAGGGGTAGGGGACATTTTTCAGCCTGAAGTCCACCATTTCCCTCTAGGGAACCTCCCAGGGGCCACATTCCAGTAGCAGGCAGGGTCAGAGGCAAAAGTGTGCATGGAGCAATGGATTTAAATTTTACCAAAGTTCAGTATGTTCCTTTCTACACATGCACATCCCTCTCTACCCTTCCTCCAGGCAAGCATGAGTGATTATCGCAGTTCCAGGTTGCATTCTGCTTTGGTAAATGAGCAAAGTCAGTGGAAGGTGTGTTCTGGCGGGGAGGTGCAGCTTAGGAGGGCCACGTTTGACCCCCATTGAACCTGAGGTCTCCTACCCCTGATTCATGCACACAACACTTGGTGCAGCCCTACTGGACATGTCCGTGTGAATCCCATCTTCAATCTGCTTCGTTGTTCTCCATCACTTGGAATGCCATTGCTCAGAGTTGCCACCTGATCGGACGATAAAATAGCCAGACTTGCTCTTCTGCATTTAACTGCCGTGCAATTTGAGGAGACCGGGAATGGAAGCTTCCAACCTTAATTTTCGTTGTGGGATGATGCCTGCTGCTCCATCCCTAGTCCCTGGTTCTTCCCAACACGCTTGGCAATTATTGGTTGTGCTCGACGTGAGGAAGAAGCAAATCAGCTGCTGCGTTTCCTCAACCGGTGCATGTTTGCTGCATGAGATCAGTGGCGTAATCCCACTTTGTGAGTTTGGCCAAGCAGCAGCGACACCCCAAATAAAAATGAGTCACTGTGCAGAATTTTCGAAACGAGCACAAGAGTTTTAATGATGTAGGGGGAGGTATCCCAGAGGTTCCACCAGATGCTTGATGCCCTTGACCTGCACAGCTAGTTAAAAATCTAAGGAGTGTGTAGTTATGGAAGGAGGGACAAGTTGGGTTTCCAAACAGTGCAATGGGCATTGGGCAGTGAAAGGGGCGGGGAGGAAAGTGAAGCTCTGCTCTGAATGGTTGCTTCTCTAACCCATTGCATGAGATCAGCCCAAGAGAACCTGTCTCCCCATCATCTGTTACCTGTGGATTCTGCTTCTGACCATCACAGCCTCCCTCAAAGCAAAATCCCAAATTGGGACCTCAGGTGACTTGACGGGTTTACATCTTCTTTGAGCTGCTGTTTCAGGGTGGTGGTGGGCATTTTGAGTGGCATGCTGGATCATGGCTGGGTGATCATGATTATGGGTGTGGTATTCAGCTAAGTTTTGTTAAGTGTAGACCCATTGAAATGAATGAAGCTAGGTCCCTTAATTTCAGTAATGGAACTATTCCGAGCAAAACCTAGTTGAATACTACCTTTTGAAGTTCGTGGGGGCCCATAACAAATGTTGTGCATTTGCCTGAGGAAAGCCTTCAAACCTCTTGGTTCTTAGGCAGGAGTGGGGTGACGAGAGAGCGAGGGGATGGGTGGACCTTATCAAGCTATGTTTCTCTCCTTCCATTCTCCTTTTCCGGCCACTCCATTCCGTTCCCCCTCCCCAACTGTTAGTCAGCAGCCTGTGCCCACTGAGCATGCTCAGTCCTCACTAGGATTTCTTTAGTGTCTACCCTCTTAGATTTCTTCCTGCTAAAGTTTTTTTGTTGTACTTCTGCAAAAACTGGAGGTGTCCCCCCCCCAACCTACTAATCTCTTCTTCTGTGCATGGTGGGTGTGGGTGGGTGGGCACTGGTCATGCTCGTTGGGGCTGATGGGAGTTATAGTTCAGCAACATCTGGAGGGTCAAAGATTCCCCACAACCAGGGTACATTAAAAAATGGCACCCACAGCCTGAACATTGGAAACAGGAGGAGTGCTATTCGTTGTGTGTGTGTACAGTTGAATGGATAACAATATATGAAGGACTGCTTATGACATTCAAGACATTCAATACAGGATCTCAAAGCAGCTGTCTTATTACAAAAGAATTTCAGAAATAGACTTGAAAGAGAAGTTGCTGAATTACAACTTATTGTTGTTTAGTCGTTTAGTCGTGTTCGACTCTTCGTGACCCCATGGACCAGAGCACGCCAGGCACTCCTATCTTCCACTACTTCCCGCAGTTTGGTCAGACTCATGTTTGTAGCTTCGAGAACACTGTCCAACCATCTCGTCCTCTGTCGTCCCCTTCTCCTTGTGCCCTCCATCTTTCCCAGCATCAGGGTCTTTTCCAGGGAGTCTTCTCTTCTCATGAGGTGGCCAAAGTATTGGAGCCTCAGCTTCAGGATCTGTCCTTCCAGTGAGCACTCAGGGCTGATTTCCTTAAGAATGGATATGTTTGATCTTCTTGCAGTCCATGGGACTCTCAAGAGTCTCCTCCAGCGATTACAACTTATTACTAAACTGAAAACTATGGAGAGACCTGGTCTGAATAGAGATATTGGATTCTTGTCTCAGTACACATGCTAAAGCTATTTTTGGTCATCTGCATACTATCCCTTGCTTTTTCCTGTAGGACTAATTGCAGTTGTTAACAGTCGTCAACAGGTTTACTATACCCATTGAGTCAATCACCCATCTCCCACTACCCTTTTGAGAAAAACCCTACCCCACCCTCCCACTATATATAAGGGTCTGGTGACTTCTGTTTCAGTGTATCTGAAGAAGTGTGCATACACACAAAAACTTATACTCAGAACAAACTTAGTTGGTCTCTACGGTGTTACTGGACTATTTATTTATTTATTTAGTTTGCTTATGTATATTATGTTTTGTCGCTTAATGCAAGGCACTGGTGAGTTCATCACAGCGAAAATACACCAGTTGGGCTAATTTGGCATTCCCACTGGTGCCTTTGAACCATGCTGACCTCAACCCTCCCTGACCTGATGTATAGCAGCAAAAATGGATGACCAGAGGTCAGGAGGAGGAGGGCATCTAGAGGGCACTACATTGGCCACCCCTTTTGTACAGCCTTGTTCCCAAGCTGGCAATGACAGTTCTCCTTCAATCCTTCAGAAAATTTCCAGCGTCTGTTGACCCAACAGCCTACTCTTGCTGCCTGTTCTGATGATAGGCATGGAGCTTCTAGCAATGGCTGTACTTCTGGTCGCAGCAGGTGAGATCATGCATATGGGAGTCAGACTTGAAGAGCAGATATGCTTGTTTATTTATTTTTGAAAACTATATACAGCCTTACTTCCAAAAGGAATTCAAGATAGGCAATACATGCTTCTCGGCTTGTGCATTCAGAGAGGGCAGGTGAACTGGAAGGGGGAGCAAAGAGGAGACTGGCTGTACCTTAATGGTAGAGCATTGGGTTTGCAATCAAAAGGTCCAAAGTTCAATCCCCGGCATCTTCAAGTAGTGTTGGGAGAGAACCTGGTTGGAAATCTTGGAGAATGGCTGTCAGTTAGTGTAGAGATGGTACTGAGCTAGATGGACCAATGGGAATGACCCATAGCTCAACACCAGAACGTCTCCTTTGCATGCAGAAGGTCCCAGATTCATTCCCAAGCATAAGGCAGCTTCCTGTGTTCTTAAGCAACGGGGCCGAGGGGCCTCTAAAGATGGGCAATGCCTGCTCTCTTCCTGGCGAGTTGCTCTTAGCAAGTGCCCAACAATGCCAAGCCACTGGTGCCGACCTGGACCAATGAGTACCATTTTTTATCAGTATCGCTGGTGGCTGGTGCCCTTTGGGACTGGTGGGACAGAAGGCAGCAAGACCAACAGCGGGTGGTGCCAGAGCCAATGACAAACAGAGCCAACTAATTCTAGTTTTGACTCCATCCTCCCCTGGCTGAATTATACAGGGCAACACTGAAACGCAGGGGGCGAGGGAGGCAAGCCAGGCAGTGCTAGCCCCTGGATCTGGCGCAAATAAGAAGACAGGCAGGCAGGGCTGGCTGAGGTTGGTGGAGCAGTGTTGTGTTTGCCCTCATCCGTATTCTCCGCTCAGCTGGGAGGGTGGGTGGGTGTGTAGATGTGACCATGCCTTGCTGCAGCAGAGCTAGAAGAACATTATTTGCTTTCCTCCGTTCCCAACCCTTTGCTGTGATATCCCTGTCCATTTTTTATTATTATTATAGTGGCTGCACAGAATGGACCAGGATTGCTCAGGGGTTTCCACTGCAACAAAAACTCTCAGCCCTGGACAGCAGCACTGTTTGATGGCTGGAAGTTCCACTGCACAGGGACTCTGATTAACAGCCAGTGGCTGGTCACCGCTGCTCAGTGCTTCACAAATCGGTATGTGTGACTGGGAGGCAGGGGCTGCATTTGTTGCGAAGGACAAGCTGGAGGCCTGTTATTGTGGAACTATGGCTCTGTCTGTGCTATACAGTCAAAGCTGCATCTTACCACTTTGCACCATCATAGCCAGGGCTGAACCAGGATGTTTCGCTGCCTGAAGCAAAACAGAAAACAGCCTCCTCCTCCACCACCACCACCGCCATGTTCCCCTGCCACTGCCACTAATGACAATGACTCCTCCACTCTGCCGCCACTGCCTCTGCCACCTGAGGTGGCCCAAGGAAGCCCCAGTATGCTGAAGGTGGCAAGGGAGAAAAAAGAGGGCCGAAAAGAAGGCCAGTTGCGGGATGGGCAGTGGTAGAAGAAGAGGCAGGGATGGATGAGTCGTCACTAGTGGTGGAGAATGAGGAAGAGTCAGTGGCAGCAGGTGACAAGCACAGGAGGCAGTGAGCACCATCGTCCTTGTGGGCCCGGATCTGCCATCCTTCTCAACTGTCCCGAGCCTGCTGCCTGAGGCAGCTGCCTCACTGAGCATCATGGGGTGGACAGCCCTGGTCATAGCTCCCTCCAAAGAAACTGGGGAACTGTTCACCCACTCTGAGAATTGCAGCTCTCTCGGGGGAATAGGGGCCTCCTACGCGGGTGGCACTGTGGGTTAAACCACAGAGCCTAGGACTTGCCGATCAGAAAGTCGGCGGTTCGAATCCCTGCAACAGGGTGAGCTCCCATTGCCCAGTCCCTGCTCCTGCCCACCTAGCAGTTCGAAAGCACATCAAAGTGCAAGTAGATAAATAGGTACCACTCCGGCGGGAAGGTAAACGGCGTTTCTATGCTCTGCTCTGGTTCGCCAGAAGCAGCTTAGTCATGCTGGCCACATGACCCAGAAGCTGTATGCCGGCTCCCTCGGCCAATAAAGCAAGATGAGCGCCGCAACCCCAGAGTCGGCCACAACTAGCCCTAATGGTCAGGGGTCCCTTTACCTTTACCAGCTCTCAGCACCATCAAGGAACGAGGCTTCCCAGGATTCTTTTGGGGGAAGCAATGGCTGTTTCAGGCTGTATCACTGAGCTTCCATTGTATAGTGCAGATGGGGCCGTCAGTAAAGAAGGGGAGCTTGGCAGGTCCTGGTCTTGAGAATTAAGGAGAGCCCGAGAAATTCTGCTATTCAGAGATTCAGAACTGCCCTAACTGAGAGAGGGAAGGGTAGATATTGAGGGGGAGAGGACCTCAGTTATGGGGGCCAAATGCAGCTCTTCAGACCTCTCTGCCCAGCTCTTGAGCATCTCCCTAGGCCACACCCCCTCTGCCAAGGACACACCCCTCACCAGCCCTGCTCCACACCCTCCTTGCATGCCTTTGCCTGGCTGGAATGTGTCCCTGAACTGTGATGTTGCCTCTTGCTTGTCTGGATGCAGGATGGGGAGAGGAGTGCATCTAGCTTTTGTGTGGCTGGAATGCAGCCAAGTCTACAAAGGTTAGATCCAGGGCTTTTTACCCAGCCAAAGTTGTTGAGCTTTTTTGAGAAGAGCTCTCACCCTGGAGAGTAAATGACACTCTTGGGGATCCCCATGTGTGCCTTTCAGAGGTGAGGTGTCTTCAGTGGGTTTGCATTGGTGGCTGCTCTTGATAGAACCTTGTTTCCCCCTGAATACCCCAGGCATTGAGCCAGTCTTGGGATGCCCAGTAAAGAGTCACACCGTTGGCCCACCTAGTTCACTATTGTCTACACCGACTGGCAGCAGCTCTCCAGGGTTCCAGCAGCAAATTTATCCCATCCCTACCTGGAGATGCTGTGGATTGAACCTGGTACCATCTGCATGCGAAGCCAGTGCTCTTCCATTGAGCTCTGGCCCTCCCCTTGTGCATCACTATGCTACAAAAAGGCTTCTCCTGCTCAATGCCTTTATGTCAGGCTGCTGTTCAAAGGTGTGCAGGAGCAGGATGGGGAGCAATTTTGGCCACCCTGCTTCAGAATGCCCTTTGAAGTGCCATGAAGCCCTTTGGGGAAAATTTTTATTGGCGTGCCAAGAAGTTGTTTGCCTTGACTTGTCATTAATCACAAACAACTTGGGAGATTCCAGTTCACTGTCCTCTGGCTCAACTTAGCTCTTACACAATTTTCCAATGGCAAACAGCCACGTTCTTCCCATGTCAGCTTTCCCCCAAAGTTGTGCTCTCCAGATGTTCCTGGAGTACAACTCCCACCAACCCCTGACCACTGGCCATGCTGATTGGGGCTATGGATGTAAAAAGGCATAGTTGTTCATTCTTCCCTATATTAGTCCTGTTTCTGTTTAAGGCAGTTTGTCTGTTATTCAGCTTGCTGTCCATGGTAGCAAAACTACGTAACTTGTGTAATTTATTACGTAAATTGCATTGCCATTGTATTATGCACCAATGAGGTGCAATGCAAATGGGAAGTGGGGTGTTTGTAATCAATTAAATAATTGTTTGTAGGCTCAAAGCAACAGCAAAAATGAATATTGGCAATTTCCCCTCCCATTTCCGTTTTCATCAGAATCCTCTGACATCCCTATCTGGGGTTGATGGAAGTTGTAGCCCAACAACATATGGAGGGCACCAGCTTGGAGAAGGCTGCCAAAGGTGAAATCCAGAGTGGCCACTTCGATGACCTTAGAAGGGGATCAGACCAATTCATGGCGTGTTTAGAGGCAGACTTTAATCCTGGGGAAAGGAATAGATATATCTGAACCAAATGTAGCGAGGGCAGCCTTGTGCTCTAAAACAAGGATGGGGAGTAATTTTCAGCCTGAGCGCCACATTCCTTTCTGGGCAATCATCCGAGGGCCACATGTCAGTGGTGGGTGAGAGCCAGGAGCAGCACAGTCATTCAGTGGGGTGAGGCTGCCACCACCTCCACCAGCAGTGGAGAAGTGCTGGAATCAGCACTGATTTTAGAAGAGATCGTGGCAATCTCTGGTGAGATCTTGGCCGAAATCGCCCAATATATTGTGGGGTGTGCAAGGTCTCTCGTGTGATTTTGTCCGAGATCTCTCCCTGAAATCCCTGGAATCTCGCCCAAAATTGGCACCGGTGCCTGTGATGCTTCTCTGCTAATGGTGGAGGTGGCAGAATGTACAGTGAAGGTGGAAGCAGGAGCAGGCATGGTACTTTGGTGGTGGCGGCAGCAGTGGCAGCAGCAGGACAGGACTTCCTGTTTCGCCTCAAGCAGTGCAGGGGTATTTGCGGGACCTGGTGAGACAAGAGGCAAAAGTGGTTAGAGAAACTGAGTTTTTATATATACTGACACTGAAGACAAACTGTGCTTCATCCAGGCAAGCCAAAAGCATTATCAGCATTCAGGACACATTCTAGCCATGCCAAAGCACTCAAGAGGGTACAAAGCAGGGCTGGTGAGGGGGAGTGGCCTGGGAAGATGGGCGTGGCTGGAGAGAGGGTGTGGTCTAGGGAGACTCCCAAGGGCCGGAGAGAGAGACCTGGAGGGCCACATACCTGCTCCAATGCCTTTGGGTGCCTCTTTGTCCTTTACACCTGCTCCTTGTACCACAGTTTCTTCTATGTGGCTCTTGGAGAAAACAGCCTGCTGAGCTTTGAAGGGACAGAACAGCTGAAGATCGGAATCAAGGCAATCCGCCACCCCTTTTACAACAGCTTCAACAAGGATAACGACATCATGTTGGTCAAACTCCTGACCCCCATCAGGTTGACTGACAGCGTCCGGCCACTTGCCTTGCCCAGCAGCTGTGTTGATCCTGGCAGCTACTGTGTCGTCGCTGGATGGGGCACCCCCATTCTGCAGAAAGGTAGTGGGGGTGGGGGTGGGGAGCTGGAAGGAACCTAGGATGTGAACAGGGATGGGGGAGAACTCTGACTCAATTTGCTTTTAAGGGCGGACCTACCTGATTCAGATTTTCTGAAACAGCACACAAACCAAAACGTGGCCGTCTTTCGCAATTCTCTGAATTTTGCAATACAGTTCTTCAGCCAAGTAAATGGGTGCAAAAATGTGTATATTAGGAGAAAGTCTGCATGAAAATGCAGATATTAGGGGAAATAGCACACAAAAATGCATTGCATAATGGGAGTTTATTTTGTAAAAATGTGTACATTCGGCAAAATTGCATACAAAATGTGCTCATTAGGAAAAAATGTGTACTAAAATTGTGGTGGGGTTGAATCCCCATTGCTGATGAAGTGGGAGAAGCCTCTATCACTGCACTTTCTTATCTTCCAAGTTCCACTGATCACCATTTTCCTGATGCACTATGTGGCAGAATTAACATCCTTCTTATTCATTTTTTATTTGAAAACTTAAGAAGGAACAGAAAAAGAGAAAAAGTCAAATAAAATTAAAGAAGAAAGAGATGATGATGATGATGATGACGACGACGACAATTAATATACAAATAATACTAGACCATGATCAGTTCACATTGTGGACACAGTGAGCATCAGTATAGGTATCTTAAATTAAACATATAATTTAATATAAGCCATCCAGATGTCCTGATAGGTAGCCACACATCACTGATGCCCAGGGCTTTTTTTCAGAGGGAACTTGCCGAAACTCGGTTTTGGCACCTCTCGGGTGGGTTCCGGAACCTCTCAAGTGAGTTCTGGCACCTCGCAGGTGTGTGTCATTGCGATTATAAGAAAAAGAGGGAGGCGTTCATGGTGAGTTCCTCTAGAAAAGTTTCTAGAAAAATAGCACTGCTGATGCCTGTATGCAATATGGTCACATGCAGCCAGGACAGTGAGGGTGCTCAGACCGTTGTGCAATAGACAGTGGGTATGTATTATTCCAGGTTTCAAATATAAGTTTATTAGTCATCATAAGGGCTCACGAAAACCCCACTTGTTTTACTACTATTAATCCCCATACTACAGGGATACAGTTTGAAAGTACATGAACACCCGCAAATTTCAAGGATTTTGCCAATACTAAATTGATGTGACTAACAACTTCAGACCAAAAGGAAAATATATCACTGTACAAACCCACTCCATATGCATCAAATAGACATTCCCAGCTTTACACCTCCTACATTAAACAGTGCCCTCTTATACTTGAAATATTCATACTTGCCGCATCAATCTCAAATTTCAGGTCCAAGGAAATATTTCGTACAGATCCTATAGCGATTTCCCATTGTTTAGACTGTATAATGTCTTATAATTCCCTGTTCCTCACTTCTGTAAGTTCCTCAACTTCTACTTTGCCAAAATCCATTAAGCATCTATAAACAGCAGTTATAGGTTAGGTTTTCTGTAAGGATTAATGTCCTAACACTCCCTAGCTGGCTGAGAAAGAGGGTGCAGGAATCTGACATTGGCCCCAGAGCAGAAGGTCATGAAAATGGGCAGTAGTGACAGTGACTGAAGGCATTTAGCTTGAGGTCTACAGATGTCAGAGGATTCAAATGGAAATGGAAATGGAAATGGGAGCAGAAATAGCCAATGTTTGCTGAGTCATCCCACATACAGCCCAAAACTCAATCCAGCAAATACAATCGGTATTTGCTGCTGTAGTTGTTTTCAGTCCACAAATGACACACAGTTGATTACTTCCCCCTCACATTTGCATTGTGTTTCCTTTGCATTGAAATGAATGGTGTGGAATACCGTGATAAATACAGGATTAATTATGGATTGTCTCCAATGCTAGTCCTGCTCAGAGGAGATCCACTGAATTTAAGGGATATAATGAAGGACCATTGATTTCAAGGGGTCTACTCTGAGTGAAACTTAGTTGGATTCGCACCTGTGTAGTTTATTCCATGAAATTCTGCTGCAGTGAATACTGAGACGAATAACATTTTTGTTGTTGTTGAAAGCTGCATTGCAGTGGAATGGAAACAGCACTGCATGCGACTAGGCATGGGTTTGGGGTGGAAAACGATGCCTTCTTACACCTAGGAACCCGCCACAAACTCTGTGTGAATCAGCCCCATGAGAAAAGGCGAAAGTGTGTTGGCAGTGGTGGGGAATCCAGCAAATAATTAGAGAGTGAGATTTTCTTGCAGCATGTTAAATATCTACTTCGTCCATTCCTCTCTCACTTACCCCTGCTCATCCCCACTAGAGTACCCACCAGACATCCTCTACTGCGGAAATATCACCACCTTGACTGACCAGGAATGTTTGGCTGCCTATCCTGCTATCCCCTTGGGGCACATGCTATGTGCTACTGTCAAGATGGGTGGATCAGATTCCTGCCAGGTGAGCATGGCCATTCCTACCACCCTCTCCCAGCCATAAAACACCACTGCCATCCTAATGTTTGTGTCTCCTGATTTATTCCTAGAGTCTTTGATACTTACTTGCACATGGCTGACGACAGGAAGCATGGAGCCTAGGGCTGTTTACACAAAAATACTTTTAAAACACATGGCTTCCGCCAAAGAATCCTGGAAACTGTAGTTTCCCCTCAAAAACCAACCGTTTCCAACAATCTTAACAAACTACAGTTCCCAGGATTTCCCAGGAACATGGGTGAGGAGATTAAGATCTGGCCTCCACCCCTGAAATTAGAGGTGAGGCCATCCTTTAGTCGCTGCAGGTCCCAGGCTTTATATCCCAGTACCGGCACCATGAATTGATGGATTTTTTTACTCCATAACAACATTTCTTCATTGCCTCCACAGGGAGACCCTGGCTCACCCCTCGTCTGTCGTAACACACTGCAAGGCATCACATCCTGGGGCTTTGAAAAATGTTCTGAGGTAGAAAGCCCCAGCGTCTTTGTCAAGGTCTGCAACTACGCTAATTGGCTGCGGGAGACAATGGCTTTGGCTTAACATCTCTGAGGAATACAACCTAGTATCCCTCCCGTCCTCAGGTTGCAAAATAAAGGCTCTTGAAATATGTCTTGAGTATTGTCTCTTTGCCTTTTGTGTCCTTCCAGAAGTTGGTTGTGCCAGTGGCACCCCTGCTATAAATTGGTGGAGGCTGGTTCATTAGGGTGAGAGGGACACCACATCACTGACCTCAGGTTTCCCTCAGCCAGCTACCATCTGCTTGCCCTTTTATTTACTTCCAGTCCAGGAGGTGGCATTGCCTGTCCTCTTCTTCCTTCTTATTCTCAGCATTGCCATTGTGGAATTCAGCAGAGAGGAGGATGGGGCAGTGTGTGGAGGTAACAGGATGTCCTGGGAGGTTTGCTGTGTTCCAGGTGAAAATATTCATGATGTGATGGAGAAGCTTTGCAGGCTTTGCAGTTTTGCAGTTAAAGTGAATTGACGTGCTCTGTGTCTATTGTGTAAAAAAAATCAATTTTTAAAAACAACAGTCTGTTCTCAGTTGGGAAAGTACACAGAAATTGTACAGAAAGGTGTGTGTTGAATGAATGATGAACAGGAAGGTGTATAATCATCTTGAAAACAAATCAGGATGAATGCCCATTCTTGTATAATCTCCCCCACAAAGAAATGCTGAATAAAAGCATAAAATAATCTAAGCTGTGTGCAGTGCCGGATTTACGTATAAGCTAAACAATCTATAGATTCAGGCCCCACTTTCTTGGGCCCCCCAAAAAAAATTTAAAGGGAAAAAACCTGGATGTTCATTTCCAAAATATAAGATCAAAAAACAAATAAAATAAAACTTACATACAGCAACAGTGTTTTGTATTGTGTAGGCTCCTATGATGTAAGTAATGGGCCCTGCCTGCTGGCCTGCTCCCTAAAATATCACTGGTTTGCTCGTTTCTGTATATAGGGTGCCTACATTCTGCATGGACTGGTTTCATGGCAACATGTGCAAATGCTTTAAATATGTATTAGGTCCATAAATTACCATACAGCATATATTCAACACAAAAAACAGCGACCATTTGTTGTTGACAAAGGACACCTGGGCCTATAATGGGCCCCATTACCTTCAGTAGCTTAGGGCCTCATCAAATGTAAATCCAGCCCTGGCTGGATGTAAGCTTTGTGCAAGCAAATCAGAATAAATATTCAATAAACAGCTCTTCTGGAGGAGCCTTGGGTGGTGAGTGGCAGTAGTGCCACCTATTGCTGGCTCTGATCTCACCCACTGCCAATATGCAGCCCCTGACCCCTGACCCTTGAGGGAATCCAGCCCTGGGCTGGAAAAAACATACACTTCTCCACCCTTGCCCTACTGTGAAGGAAAGATTGTTAATGTTGCAGACGCTTGTCTGTCATCGCTGACTTCATTGTGGAATCTCTGGCAAAGAAACAGCAAAGTTCCCAGGACACTGTTTAGAAAGCCAGCTTTTGAATAACACTAGGGATGTCGTGTTGTTTTAGTTGCCTTCCTCTTGTGCCTTTCACAGCAGCACAACCCTGAGTAATTTAGGACATGACTTTTTGAATGACTTCATTTACAAGGGGAAAGCATCATCTGCCATACAGACATCTGTCAGGCTGTTGTTGGAAACACAGGAGACGGGGTTAGGCAAAAAGAAGAGTGGCAACTTTAAATGGCATACAGGGACAGGAGGGAATTTTATTCCATTCGCACTTATAGGCGAACATGCTTCATTCACACTTTTTGAAACAATACGTGAACCCAAACACAGCCATCCCCTGAAATTTGCAATTCTCTGAATTTTGCAAGCCAAGTTATGTGTGCAAGAATGCCTATTGTAAAGTAAAGTGTGCATAAAAATGCCTATATTAGTGCAATTAACGTACAGCATGCATTGTGTTAAGGGGAAAAAAAAACTTTGCAAAAATGCATACACTGGGCAAAATTGCCTTAAGATGTGTATATTAGGAGAGAAAAGTACCAAAAGGCTGATGGATTTCCCTGAGAACTTTTTTTAAAAAACGCAAATGGATATGACAATGAGAAGAATTGAACCTAAGTGAGAAACTGTGAGTAACCAAAACTGACCTAGTCACCCATCCTAGAGGCACAGAATGTAACTGGAAAAAAACTTGCCTGATGCAGATTGCATGGTGTGTGTGTTTTTGTTCGGAAGCTGCTTTTCGCCTCTATACGTATATCAGGGGAAAAGGATACATCTTGTAACGTTTGCACTCAGTCAAGTGAGAGGAGGGAGCAGGTTTGGAAGCATGAGCACAAACCAGGAGATATTTAAACCAGCTAAATTTGCGGTAACAGCAGCAAGAATATTATTGGAACAAAAATGGAAGCGAGAAGAATTGCCAACATTAGAAGAATGGAGGGTGAAAGTAATGGACTACGTAGAATTAGATAAACTAACAGGAAGGATCCGAGACCGGCGGGACCAGAGGTTCACTGAAGACTGGACTAAATTTATGGAGTATTTGAAAAGTATTTGTGATGACCAGATTACGTTTGTAGGTTTGCAAGAAGCTCTGTAAGGAATAATTTAAGAAATATTGTAAAAATGGAAAGGGAGAGGTGATTTGTTAGAAAATGTAAAGGCAATATTAAGTTAAGAATTGCAGGAGGAGTAATTAAGACGGAGGATTATCAGAGGTGCTGAAGGAAGTCCAAACAAAGATATGTGTGTAATAATTTGTGTGGTATGTCTTTAAAATTTTGTATGCTAAAAATTAATAAAAATAACCCAGCTAAATTTGAGGATGCAATCCAGCTTCCTGAGTCTCGGAGCAAAGGGATGCCAAGCCAAGGTGGAATCTTAATGATAGCTTTGGCACAGCGTCTGGCTTCCATCTTTCAAAGGTGCTTTAGTAAGAATGAGAGGATGTTCCAGCACAGGAAGTGTGGATTTGCTGAGTGAGCAGTTGTCGCCGGGTTGGCATAATTATCGTCTTGTTGACGCAGAGGCAGCACTGGAATTGCACACCCACCAGCAGAGCAGAGGCGTTGCTTGCTGTGTTGCAGGCATTATAATTAACTCAGCTAATGCACACTAGGGTATTACTGAGGGGCACAGATACTTAATAGGATGCTTATCCCCATTGGACAATGCTCTTCATAGTCAGCTTTCCTAGCCCGCCCCAAACAGGAAAGGTCCAGCCTCAAGAAGAGCTGCAGGTGAGGAATGGTGTCGCAGCTCATCACTGGCCAATTATTTTGCAGCTCCATTCATTTAACCACCTGTCGAGACTTGCCAAGAACAACAGCCCTTGCCTGGAAGATTCCCTCTGCTCCTTGTTGCCATACACTTGGCCTGGTAGCTGCACATTTTCAGTGTCTCTGGTGACGTGATTGCCTTGTCCATTAGTTGGAGGGATGGGGGACCTAAGGCTCAGGAGCCAAATGTTGCCCACCAGGCTTTTCTCTTTGGCCCTCGGAACTCCCCGCCACCAGGCAACATCCCTCGCTGGCCCTACTTCGCACCCCAAGCTTTCTGCTTGGCTCAAATGTGTCCTTGAAGGCTCATCATGTCTCTTGCTTGTCTGGATGGAGGGTGGAGAGGTAGGTGTGAGTGCAGAAGCTAGCCTGCTGTATAAAGGTAAAATTTGCATTCATTGCTCCGCCTGCTTTGCCTCTAGTCCTGCCCACCACTTGCATGTGGCCCTCAGAAGGTTGCCCAGAAGGGAATGTGGCCCTTGGGGAGAAAAGGGTTCCCCACCCCTATCTTAGCAACCACAGCTCGGTTGGCAACATATGCATCACCACAGAAAAGGAAATACATCACCAGAAATGAAGGCACATACGCGCTAATTATTTTTTTTGCATATGCTTATGTAAATGTAGCGATGAAAATGTAGACAGAATTACTACAATTTAGATGGAAATGCAAGACATCTCACCGTGGTTGAGAAAACTATGAGCAAGTGACCTGTTTGCCTGCTCCGTTTGTTTCTCAGGTCCAAACTCTTGGCAGGCAACTCCAAGGTCCTTCCTGCTCTCCCTTCTTTAGGGTTTCTTCTTCTTCTTAAAACAGGATTATTTCAAAACCAGTCCTGTCCTATGAAAGCCTTTCAAAGCAGAGGACTGTAACGTAAGACACTTGGCCACCTCACACCTGCCCTGAGTCCTTTACGCCAGGTGGCTAGGTCTCTAAGCGGCCATTTTAAATTTCCCACAATGCCCCTAAGGGACATTAAGGGAAATATAAAATGGCAACCTGCAGCCACCTCACTGACACAGAAGGGGGCCTGTGAGAGAGTGGTTTCCTAAGGCAGCTGTCGCAGCTGGTAGATCACAGAGGCCTGTTGCAATAAGAGAATAACATCACATACTCCGCAACATGTTGAGTCCCAGAACCAGGACACAAGTCTTCTCACATAACCTGTGTGAGAACATGGAGCCCCAAATACATGCTTTTGGGGGGCTGTGCCCTCATGACACTTTTTGCTACACAGCCCCCAAAAAGTTTTTTTTTCAGGGTGAGATCTCATGTGATGGCCTCAGTGCTCTTGTGGGGGGAAAATGGGTTGTTCCAGTTTTTCCGGGACAATTTCGAGTTATGATGTCAATTTAAAGAAGCAGGAGGAACAGAGTTGCAAAACTCACCCTTCGGCCTTGATACCCAGTGGCCATTTTATTTTGGCTGGCTTTTCTTGCATGTGGCAGGTGTTTTTACACCTGGTTCATTGTTTCACACTGTGGTTCAAACTGCAATTTTAAATGTTGCAAGCAGCCCCAAGTGGTGCTTTCGCAGCCGAAGGGCGGGATTTAAATATTTGCATAAATAAATAAGATTAAAAGCCTACATCCTTTTTTTTGCTGTGACACCTGATCAAATAGTTTCATTTCGTTCTCCTCATGTTCTCACACCCAGGACTACATCACCAGCTCCCGAATTCTCAGATGGCTTCATTGTTATGCGTGATGAGGATCAAGGGGAATCCATTCTATTAGGAAAATGAACGTGTAAGGCAGGTGTGGGGAATATTTGGCCCTTCAGGTGTTGCCAAACTAAAACTCCCATCAGCCCCAGGAAGCATGCCCAATGGCCAGGCATGATGGGAGCTGTAGCCCAGCAAAATCTAAAGGGCCAACAGTTACCTACTCTGGTGTAAGGGATGTGTTATTGTACACAGAACTGTTGAATTGATCAGAGACAGCAACCTTGTGGCCAAGCAATGGCCAATGCATGAACATCTGGACAGATTGTGTTTTATTTTGTATTTTATTCTGTGAACCACCCTGAGATCTCTTGATGAAGGGTGGCATATAAATTTAATAAATAAAAATAAAATAAATTCAGTGGATGGGCAGAATGTGGCCCCAGAGAACAGCTGGAAGGCAGCACTATGCAATTCTCTTATGGCCTCACCCTACCGTAAGATGTGTACACAATTTACAGAATGGTTAGATGTCAATTTGGGACACATGGGCATCCAAGTGGAAGACACCCCCCCCCAGGAATGTCTGTCTGTCTGTCTGTCTCCTCTACACCTCAGCCTTTATTTATTTAAAGACTTAGGGTTGTAGCTAATGCTATTCCAACTCAGCATAGGCCCATTGAAATTTATGGGCATGACACAGTTAGCCCCATTAATTGCAATGGATCTACTCTCAGGAGAATTCCGCTACATACAGCCCTTTCTGAAGATAGATACATATAGAGATAGATAGATGATAGATAGATAGATAAACCACGGATAGCAAAAATGAAATACGTAAATATCTAACAATCTAGAGGGTTGTATTCGGCTAAGTCCAACTCAGAGTAGACCAGTTAAAAGTAACAAACCTAAGTTAGCTATGCCCACTGACTTCAATGGGTCTACTCTGAGTAGCACTAGTGCTGAAGACCACCCCTCCCCCCAAAAAACACACATATCTTAAAAGAAGGGGTAGCCAATGTGATGCCATTCCAGATATTGTTGGACTACAGCTCCCATCATTCCTGCCCATTGGCCCTGCTCCTTGAGGCTGGTGGGAGTTGTGGTTCAACAGCGTCTGGAGGGCACCCCCATCGGCTACCCCTGCCTTAGAACCACAAACCAGATGCATCGCTGCTCCAAAGCAGTTGGCATCATCACATAAGCGATTTGATTTGAGTTTCTACTGAAATGAGGCTGCATTTTAATGTTGTATTTTAATCTTGTTTTTAAGTTGTATTTAATCAATTTGTTTTTATACCTGGTGTTAGCCGCCCTGAGCCCGGTCTTGGCTGGGGAGGGCAGGGTATAAATAAAATTATTTATTATTATTATTATTATTAGCCATGTCAGAGCAATGCAACCGCATCATTTCCTGGAAGTACCTGTGAGTAGGTGCGTGGGGAGAAAGGACATGAGAGCAGCCAAGGAACACTCCCAGGTTGGCTTTCCCCTCACTGGGTAGTGATGAAGATGCCAGGAATATGAGCTTTCTTCCACCACCACAGCTGCATCTCTTCTCCATCCTGCCTTCACAGTGTGTGCTGTTTGTCTGGGTTCAAATGGCGGAGGAAGGATGTGGGATTGCGGTGGCGGCGGTGGCGGCAACTGAGCCAGACTACAGCTCCATAGATTTCTGAGCGTAGGTGGATTGCCAATAGAGTTTGCAAGTCTAGACATCACTTTTGGCCCGGCATGCTTCTTTTGACATCCCTGGTATCACCTGTGAGCACTGAGCAGTGTATCTTCCAGCAGTGGTGGGGATGCTCAGTTTCTTACTCTCTCGCTCTCTGCTTGTATGTCATGTGCAAAAACATCATGATGTTCTTACTAGGGGCTGATGCCACTGCTCAATCCACTCAGTATATCCATCTTGTGTGCTTCTCAGAATCACTTGGTGGGCCTCAAAACAGATTTAATTCCGGATCACGTTTTTCCCCTTTATCAAATGGACTAGTTGAACATTAAGTTCAAGGTTCAATTCTGGTTTGCCCAAATGTTCCTCAGCAATCAATCAATCAATCAATCAATCAATCAATAACTTGGGATGCTGCAAGCTGATGTGCTAAAGTATAAAATAAGAAGACCAAGAAAACTTCTTTTTCAAAAACACAGTAGGATGTCAATTGCTTAATTTATTTTCCCCAACTAATATGATCTTTAAGTTTAAAGGCCCAGGAGTAAGCCTAAAGAGTAAAAAAAAAAAATCTGTAAGAAAATGAACTTGGAAGAGGAACTGGAAGTTGTTCAGAGTTCTACACCATAATGAACTTAATTCACATTCCGTTCACCCAGGAATTCTGGGAACAACTTTCTGGTGCAGTTCAGAGGTTTCCTGTGATCATTCAGGCGTCCCTGGCAGTAATTGCTCCATTGCCAGGACACTCCGTCCAGCCTGCATACTTGCAATTGCTACTTTCCATATTCATGCTTCCCATTTTCCTGACATCTGTCGCCATCGTCAACACCTGTCACAACCACACCCAGAAATTATGTACTTTGCCCACACCCTCCCGGCCAAGTGTTTGCCTTATTATCTCTGTACCTGCTCATGTGGCAACAGGGCCTTGAGGCTGGCAACAGTTAGAGACATCTACATCTTTCCTGCATTGTCAGACTTCTTGGACAAAACAGACAGGCGGATCCCCTATCCCTGACTGACCTTAGTCAACCTTGATGTTGTGCTGATTGTCTTCCATGCCCCCAACCCCGTCTTTATCTTCCTAGAATCCTTTCTTAGATGCACTTAGCAGATCATCTGATGAAACAAGTATCTTTAAGATAAGTTTGCAACAGCAGCACACTTCCTGCTCCCATTTGATTCTTTCTCTAGCCTCCTCATCCGGTCGGAGGCGGGTGATGAAGATAATCCCATCCGCAAAAGACAAAACAAAGAACTTTTGCTGTATTCTCAATATTGATGTCGGAGGATTCCAAAGGAAATGGAAATTGATAGTGTCTGCTTATTCGTTCCACATCCTGAATGGGAACCAATCCAGAAAATACTATCCATATTCACTGCTGTTGTGGTTTTCAGTCTACTAAACATTGTTGATGTTTAGTTGTTTAGTTGTGTCCGACTCTTCGTGACCCCATGGACCAGAGCACGCCAGGCACTCCTGTCTTCCACTGCCTCCCGCAGTTTGGTCAAACTCATGTTTGTAGCTTCGAGAACACTGTCCAACCATCTCGTCCTCTGTCGTCCCCTTCTCCTTGTGCCCTCAATTTTTCCCAACATCAGGGTCTTTTCCTGGGAGTCTTCTCTTCTCATGAGGTGGCCAAAATATTGGAGCCTCAGCTTCAGGATCTGTCCTTCCAGTGAGCACTCAGGGCTGATTTCCTTAAGAATGGATAGGTTTGATCTTCTTGCAGTCCATGGGACTCTCAAGAGTCTCCTCCAGCACTATGTTCTACTAAACATAGAACCATAGAATTGTAGAGTTGGAAGTGATCCTGGGGGTCCACCCCCTGCAATGCAGGAATCTTTTTGCCTCACTGATACTCAATGCACAGAAGGCAATAGCAATCTCCTCCTAGTTGTTTTAAATATATATTTTTATTAAAGATTTCTTAGTTTACAAAAATACATGCATTGTCTCTTTCTTCAAGTTGGGTTTTCTACAGATCAGTTTCATTTGTTGTGAGACATTAGTGTTGCATACATTGTTAGGTTAGGAAGAAAAGAGGGGGAGGGGAATGGTGAATGGGGTGGGGTCGGGTGCCAATGCTTCTATTCTTCTACTTTATGTGTGGGGTTTTGTGTCAGCGTCACTTGTGTGGGTTCTCTTACTATTGGCTTGTTGTATTTCCTTGGTGGTGAGAGAGGTTGGGGGTGGCCTAGGGTTTGGTTGGTTGTCTTTGGTTGGCTGTAGTAAGATTTGTTTTTGTGTGTGAGGAGTGTGTGTGTGTGCACGTGCTTTTGTATTAGGTTAGCCAGATTGATTTGTATGCTGTTGGCGGATTCTTCTTGTTATCTTGTTGGGCTGTGTACGTGATAAAGGCGTCTTCTATTTCAGTTTCAGTTTATTGGTTAGTTTTTCTACTAAGGCTGTTTTCCATACGATTTGATACCATTGGTCCATGCTTACTCCTGACAGGTCTCTCCAGTGTCTGGCTATGATGCTTCTGGCTGCTGTGAGTAGGTGGGTTATGAGCTCTTTATGATGTGAGTGGGCATTATTATCTTGGAAGATGTTTAGTAGCGCCAGTTCTGGGGTGACTTCTAATACTTGCTTAGTTATTTTGCATATTTCTTGTATGATTGATGTCCAAAAGAGTTGGATTTGGGGACATTCCCACCACATGTGAAGGTATGTACCTGGGGAGGTGCATCCTCTCCAGGAATTTGGTGAGTTTCTTACTATTCCATCTTCATCTGCACCAAGGAACAGCCCAAAGAAACACCCCAATTAAGGCTGCTTCTCCATTCACAGAGATTCCCTGGAACACGTCAGCTGGGATTTCGAAGTATCAGTCTGGCCCCTGGGTGTGTTTCTGTAACCTATAACCCAGTCCCTCCCCTCGATTGCAACCATAGTTATTATCTGCACTCTTGTGCTATTACTGAAATAGTCACAGCAATGACTAGCAACATGTTTTCTGGTTGGCCGGAAGGGCACCACACAAGCCATGTTAAATGGCACAGCATATACTGTATTGAATATTGGTCCACGATGGGATGGACCAGTAAAACTGTAAATCAGTGCAGCTACTAGGGAGGAAAGACAAATTAAATTCAGCTTGCATGTAAAGGCAAAGTTACCACATGCACACTTTTCAAAATTCTTTATTAAACTTTATGGAAGATACAAATTAAAAATGAAACGAACAAAATAGGTGCAGTGGGTGAGTTATTACCACAACAGGCTTAAGACTGATCAATGACTATATATACTGATAATCTCCACACTTTCTTTCTTCTTCATATTTTCTTTACAGAATTTTTGTTTGCAGGGTTTTGGGGTGAAGAGATAACTCAAAAGCTCCTCATTTTCTTTATCTTTTGCCCCTTGGTTGCTTTTATTTTCTGTGTCAATTTCTCTAAAAGAGCACATTGTCGTACTTTTTGATACCTCTGGTTTATGTTCTCCAATGACTTCCAGTTCTGAGTTGCCGCTGCTTGTGCAGCCAATAGTTCAACAGCTCTTTATGATCAAGATCTAAATTTCTATCCAAAAGCATATTTAACAGAACCAAAGTCGTTTGAACAGTAATCTCACTGATCTCAGCTTCCAAAACACATTTTGATACAAATGCTTTGTTACTTTCTGTAACAACATGCAAACCGAATCACAGCCATCCTTTGAAATTTGCAGTTTTCTGAATTTTGCAGTGCAGTTCTTCAGCCGAATAGAAGGCACAAAAATTCATATATTGGGACATTAAAAAATAGTGAAAATAACATACAAATGTGCATTACATTAGGGGAACTTGCTTTGCAGAGATGTGTTTGTGGGGGAATTTGCTCTAAAATGAAATCGCCAACTGATGTGGAAATGTGGTTAACTGAATTTAAGATTGGAAAAAGGAGAAATAGAGAGAAACTGAAATTGATATATTTGTCCACCCCTAACATATATATAGGATATCATTCTAGAGGAGGGCTTGAGAACCCATGACTTCCCAAATGTTGCTGGACTCCAACTCCCATTAGTTTAGCCAATGGTCAGGGATGATGAGAGTTGCAGTCCACCAACACCTTGAAAGCCACAGGTTCCCTACCCTGATATGGATGATAAATCAACAATAAAAATAAATTAATATCATGAACAGTAAAAATCCACAAAGCCTGGATAAAAATGAGTTTTCAAAAACTATCTAAGGATAGGGAGTGAGGGCTTGGCAAAGCGCCCCAGGGAGGGAAATCTACAAAAGCAGTACCACCACTAAAAAGGCCCTGTCCCTAACCCTAATCCAGAAAGCAGGGTCTCAGATGCTGATCATAGCTTGGGTATGTTCCAGGCCAGCTCACCCATGGGGCAGAGTGAGGCAACTACCTCAGGTGGCAGGATCCATTGGGAACACAGATCCTGATGTAGATCTTTATTCACCCCTGGGTTCCTGATGTAGGTCCTCACTCTCCACTTCTTCTCTGGCAGGGAGAGGCCCCCATTTTATGGTTTGCCTCACACACCAGCATGTATTGTGCTGAGTATGTTCATCTAATCCATGGTTCCCAATGTAGGGCACATGCCCCACAGGGGGGCAATTTGATTTTTAAGGGGGGCAATTCAAGAATGAGTTTTTAACAGTGAATGGCCTTTTAGGCTTCCTCCACATGAATAGGACTTCACTTTTTGAATAATAAGAATTATATGTCATGGGGGGTGGGACACCAGGATTTTAGAGATGCTTAGGTGAGGCGTGGCCAAAAAAGGTTGAGAACCACTGATCTAGATAGTCACTGGAAGTGACCTCATTTATGAAACAATTGGTATTCATGATTTGCACAACGGTCATAATAACTTTCATAAAAGACAATTTTCTAATTAATGGTAAGTCATCAAGAGGGGTTAGATTGATGTACCAGGAACAGGGATGAGATAGACTTGTAATCTTCAACCTTTCCTGACCTGGGAACTACCTTGAACTCAAACATGCATTGGCTCATTTCTTGATTTTTTTAAAAACCGTATATTCGTCTGGTAGTTGTGCATTGTAGCAACCACCTTAGAACAAGTCATGACCCATTAGTGGGTCCTAACCCACCATCTAAAGACCAGTGTGCTCAACCACACACTTGCTGTCACAGAACTGTTGATTCCTCATTATTAGAGACTACTGCCTCCCTTACCACATTGCATAAGAGAGGGTTCTGCCTCTTCACACATACAAACATATGCTGGCTGCACTATAACTGTCTCAAGGTGGTTATCACAGGGATTGTTCCTACATGAGCAATACGTTTTGATTATCAATCCTGGCTTGGCTGTCCTAACCACATTTCTCTAAGGTATTTTGAATGACGCTGCTCACCAAAGACAGCCACCAGCTTTTTCTTCTCCATCTCTCATCCTGGCATGGATGTGTCAGCAGCTCCTGATTTTGCCCAGGGTTGTTGACTCAGCTCATCACAACTTCCATTTCACCACTCAGCTGCTTCAATTTGAAGGGCTTCTCGTTAGACACTTACGAAAGAAGACCTCTGGACCATCCAATGAAACTGGCTGGCAAAAGACTCAGGATAGACGGAACTTCACACAATGTATCATTATTTTATGGGTTCAATGTTATGGAATTTGCTTCTGCAAGATGTGTTGATAGCATTCAAAGCGGATTAGGCAAAACAATAGCTTTCAAAGCGGATTAGGCAAAACCACAGAGGGTGAGTCTTATGAATTGCAACAAGTTATGGTGGCAATACGCAATATACCTCTGAATGGGAACTGAATCACAGTTCTCTCCCTTCCTTAGCCAGCATGGCTAGTGCTCACAGGTGATAAGCAAAACTGCGCAGGTCCCACCATGCCTGCTGTGAACAGAAGCTTGACATGCAGAAATCATCTTGTAAGTCTTAACCTGAAGGCATGATGCTCCAATAGATGGTCACCTGCTAATCACTGTTCATCCAACTGCACTAAGAGTCTAGCTGGAACATTGATAAAAGCCCAGGTCTCTTCTGAAGCATTGCTCTGTGCAGAAAATGAAAAACAGACATGCGTAATAGAAACTTCTAACAAGGGTGGATTGTATACCTGATATCGATGGGCATGCAAGAGATCTAGATTTTCCTTTGGAGGTGAAGGAGAGCCTGCCTTTCAGGTTTCTCGAGTGCCAATCTTTTCAGGAGCGCAAAGGATGGTTTTCATATTTCCCTTTCCTCCGCCACCCATCCCTGGAAAAAGGTACAGTGGAGGTGCCACTGTTCTCTTGGGTATGCATTGCATATAGTGCCATAAATATCCTGGGATGAGCCCTGCCTGCAAATGCCCCTTGGCAAGGCTGCAAGAGCAATCATATGAAGAGGTGGAGGGTGGACCCATCAGCAGCCTGGCCCGTTCAGCTCTTAACGTAGGTTTTCTTGCTGAAATTCAGAGATCAGAAGATAGACAGCCGCGGCTTTGAGTCACAGCGAGAGCCGTCAAAGCTGTGATGCACCAGGAAGGGAATCCATCAAGGCCGCCCTGCTGCCCTGGCATTTAAATGCTAACTTCTCCACTAGTTATTCACCTGCTCTCCTACCAGACATCACTGTTGAAGCTCCTTCCACCCAGAGCTTCTCCGTCAGGAACGGCAGGTAAGCCTACATATAGATTCGCTCTTAGGATTATGTTTAGAATGTTATCCAGGAGGTAAAGAAACTGTGCTTATTAATCAGCAGGCAATTCTTGTTTCAGCTATTTCCGGTTATCTGTGTGTGTCGTCGGGAGTGCTATTTAAAACATGAAACGGCATATTGCTGGCTGCCGTTGGGGACCTATTCGATGGAGAGCCTCAAATAAATAATTAAAACACCCATCCGTCATCACGGCTGTCAAGGAGCTAAGCTGCAAAGGCATCCATCACGCCATCCATGCCTATGTTTTCCTTCTCTTGCAGCCTTGGCAGTCAAACAATAGGAGAGATTGGGAGTGATTCTTGGCTACTGTTTCTCAGGATGTTGGAAGGCAATTTTGCAAGGGGAAATCCCTGTGTGTTTCGTTGCTTTAAAAAATAAATAAATCTGGTAGTTATTTATTTATTTTATATACTGCTTAACGCCACAGCTGGCTTCTAAGTGGATTATACAGTTGGATGATAGAAATGCAACATGAAGCTACAGGGGGTTGATCTTACAGGTGGGTTGATCTTAACGAAGGGTAGTTGGATTCAAAGAGTTGAAGCGACATTGTGTGTGAGTCTGGTGAATGTTTCCAATTTGAAGTTCAGAGTTCAGAGTTGAAATGAACATGATACTTGAGAATACTACCCAAACACCATTGTTTTCAGAGTTCCTTTCTGAAGGATGACTCAGATGACTACAGCATCCCAATGAGATTTCAGAATGCATGAATTTCTTAAGAGTATCAGAATACTGGGAATTTTGGTGAAGTTTGGTTGTTTTGTTCACTGCTACTCTTGTTGTTGTTGGGGCTCAAGTCTTGGCACAAAAATATGTGTAGTCTCTCCCTGTGTGTGTGTTCATTCTACTCCAAAATAAGAACATGGATTTAGACATGCTATCCCTTAGAATAGGCCCTAATGAACTGAATGGAACCTACTTCTGAGTAGGCACCTGCTGGATTGTTCTGTTGGAATGTGTAACCCAAAATGTGAAATTCTGGAATCCAAATATATGCATTTATGCCCATCTTGCCTGTGAATTTTCAAACACATGATTTGGAGACTTGCATCACAAAATTCAGATGAGTCTGAACTTTCACAGTTGGCTGCAGTGACTTCCAGACCTTATATTTGAAACACATTTATACCACTTTAACCATCATGGCTTCCCCCAAAGAATCATTGGAACTATAGTTTACCCCTCACAGAGCTACAGTTTCAAGAACCCTTAACAAACCACGATTCCATTGGATTCTTTGGGGAGGAAGCCATGAATGTTAAAGTGGTGTGACAAGGTTTCAAATATGTCATGTGTATGGCTGATCTGTGATCGTAATCATTGATTGAAACTTTTGGCTGGCCTGATGAATGCCAAGCTGTGTGGCTACCACAAATGGCAGCCTATCTATCTATCTATCTATCTATCTATCTATCTATCTATCTATCTATCTATCATCTATATCTATCTATCTATCTATCTATCTATCTATCTATCTATCTATTAGTAAAAGCAACCTTGGCCACTATTGCAGAAGGCAAAGGGTAAAAGACACAGTCACTTTGAAAGATTTTCTCTCTCCCCACCCCTTTCTCTCCTGCCAAGTGGCTTTTAAAATAATACCATATTCCCACAGTAGTGTTTACTACAGGCTTTCCCTTCAGTTCACTAGAATTACATTTCTGCTCACCATTGCCAGTTGTATTGATGGACACCTGGATAAGAAGTTGTCTAATTCTTGGAATTATGCTTCAGAACTATACCGTGGGCCTTTGTTAGAATTTAGCTTGCTTTTAGTACAAGTGAATTTCTGTTAGATACAGAGAGCACCTATAAATACGCAGGAGTTATATAAGCAGGGGTGTATGAAGGGTTAGGGGAGAGGTAGTTCCTCTGGTGGGGGACATGTCGTGCTCCTTCTACAGTAGCTTGTCCACCTTAGGTCCCCACTCTGTGCTTAGCTTTCACTTGTGGCTTCTAGAAGCTGTCCGGATGCAACAGCGACCACACGCTGGGAATGGCTTCAACTGACCGACTAAATCACGTGAGGGTAGTCGAAGCCTCGGTGAGTTAGGGATTTCCCTAACTTTTTCAGATCTGAGACCCACCTTTAGTCCAAACATGCATTGGGGGATCCCCATCTCCATAATTCCCCCTTGTATTTGTATGGTGGTAGTACTGCTGTTGTGTCTCAGATTGCCTTAGATTAAGCTGCAACCCAACAGTAGGTCCCAACCTACCAGATGAACACCAATGAGAGGGTCACAGGGTCCCCAGGCTTGCCCCAATCCAGGGCTTTTAACACAGAGATGGACAACAACATCTGGTCCTCCAGATGTTGCTGGACTCCAGCTGCAAGATCACACTCAATATATAATTAAACATCAATAAAATAACAATAAGATCAAAGAGCTTCTAAATACACTAATCAGGTAAGATTAAAGGACAGGAGGGAATTCACTTCAACAGCATAATGTAAATAAACATGCAGCCTCTTCACCATGTGACTGCTTCAAGGTAAATCTAGAGTGCTCTGTCTCTCATAAAATTACTCCCCCAATTACCAGGGATGTTGAATGAAAAATACTCTCTGATTACAACCTGATTGCAATGATACTCCGCTGGAATTTGCATCTGCCTGTAGACAGAATGTGTCTGCTGTCTATCCTACTGCCATCTCATCAGGGATGATGAGAGGTGTAGTCCAATGACACCTGGAGGGCCCCAAGTTGCCCAATCTTTCTCTCATCACTTCACACTGCCCCTCTTTTTTCTCACTTGGATTCCTGGGGTTGCATCTAGTGTTGACCGTCATCAGAGTACACCCATTGAAATTAATTGACATGGTTAACTTGGGTCCACTAATTTCAATGTCTCTGCCCTGGGGTTGCATCCAACTAAGTTCCACCTAGAGTAGACCCAATGACATCAATTGACCTAAGTTAGTCATGTCCATTAATTTCAATAGGTCTGGTCTGAGTGGAACTAGCATTGGTTTGTAATAATGCACCACCCTAAGAGACAACACGTCCGATTTTCAAAATGCTTTAAAAGCTTTGTCTTGCGTTTGCTATTCATATCATAACTTTTCATTCTGCTCTTCAGTCCCCAAAGCAGCTAACAACCAGTTAAACCAACATAGTAATTCTTCTATTCTGTTATTATCATTGCTTTCCTCCTTCACTTATTTTATTAGTGTTGTTGTTAGGCTGATAGGAAAGAAATCTCATCCTCTTTTCCATTCAGCCCTGACCCTGTGGGGGGGTCACACGTGTCCTCAACCAAACAGGAAGCATTTACCTTGATGTTTGCTTCAGCATAAGCGCTAACAATAATGTATCATGAATAATAACTACTGGTGAGTTGTTTACATAAACAATTACTGATGATAATGTTCTTCATTATCGTCATTTGGGTGTGTGCTGTGGTACCGGTATCAGTGACTCAATCTGACATCCATCCATCACAACTGTTCACCGTAAATGTTTTACCCTGCAGCAAGTTCCTTGGGAAGACTGGTCCCTTGATCTGCCAGTGCAAGGATGAAGCTGTTGGCGTTTGGGCTGCTCCTGATGAGCTCTGGAGGTAAGGAAATAAGCAAAGTGACATGGGGGCAGCAACGGCTCCATGCTCACTGTTTTCTTTCCCCCCCTTTTTTTCCTTGTTGTGCCTATAGTGTTGGGAGCAATGGGAATAGTTGCTAGGAATCGCAAATGGGGAGAGTAGTGGTCTTCTGCTCAGATCCTTCTTTCAGGTTTCCCATAGACCTCTGGTTGGCCACTGTGAGAACAGGATGCTGGAATAGAAGCTCTCTTTGTTATGTTCCTAAGTTGTTGTTATTTGTTGATTTTGGAAATGTGTATCCCTCCAGTGTCAGGGAGCCAACAGGCAGAGCAGGTCATTCACAGGAGAGAGAGAGAGAGAGAGAGAGAGAGAGAGAGAGAGAGAGAAGAGAGGATAGGATAAGATAAGATAAGATAAGATAAGATAAGATAAACTTTATTCACATTAGCCAACGGCCATGGAGAGAGAGAGAGAGAGAGAGAGAGAGAGAGAGAGAGAAGAGAAGAGAAGAGAAGAGAAGATAGATAAGATAAGATAAGATAAGATAAGATAAACTTTATTCGCATTAGCCAACGGCCATGGAGAGAGAGAGAGAGAGAGAGAGAGAGAGAGAGAGAGATATGCTTGGCTGACTTGCAAAACAAAGAACAAACAGAGACTTCTAAAAGGTAAAGCTGCCTAATGAAGCAGTTGTTCGAAACTGGTGTGTAGCCCCTTCTTCACTCTCTAGCCCTCTGCATCAGGCTGCTCCCTCTGTGATCTTTTGCTCCAGTGAGCTCCAGGGGACTTCCTCTGTGTCTGCCTGACTCACTGCTCGGCAACAAGCAACAAACACCTCATTCTAGGAATGGCGGAGCAGCAAGCTGTCTGCAGAGAAGCTGTCAGAGTGGCCCTGAGGTAGAACTGCTGGGTCTACCTCCCCTCTGTCATCACTGCCGGTGCCTGCATCCAAACTGGAAGCCTCCTTGCTGTGTCCTATGCTGGGGCAGTTTCTGCCAGTTTCTGACTCTTCGCTTCCCCTCAAGTGCCCTGCTTCGAGCACTTCCCAGCTCATCCCCTCCTCTGAGGTGTGGCCAGTGTCCCACCACCAGCCCCCAGGCTCCTCTTCCTCTGTGCCTTCCCTGGGGTGGCAGCTCTTGGTTGGGTGGTTTCCACCACTCTTCCTCAGCCTGCCAGCCCTGACATTCATGGCTGTTTGAGTGGTCGCAGAGTGCACCCCCATAATTCTCTGCCCCATATTCAGTTTCTTAGAAGGGGAGCTGTGAAATTTCTTGAGGGTTTGAGGGGCTTACCTGTGGTAATTTGAGCCTTATCTGTTTTCCTCCACCACTGGGTGCTGAAATTTACTTACTTACTTACTTACTTACTTACTAACTCACTCACTCACTCACCCTCAGTAAAGACTGCCCTTTCCCCACCCAGGATAATGTTACTACATTCACAGCATCTTGGGGGGGGAATAAGATGGCAGCCAGGAGTGACCTTAAGGGCCTCTCTTAACCCAGTGCTGAAGTAAGATTCCATTGCCAGTCCTGTCAGTTGAAGGAGGTAAGATGAGGAGGAAGGGTGCCATCTTATCTTTTGCCTCAGGCAGCATAATGTATTGGGAGGCGCTGAGTGGTTTTCCTTCTGGTTGGAGCCACCTGCAGAGGCTCCCCCCCACCTCCAAACGATGTTATATATCAACTCTGTTCTGACTGAACCAGAAGAGGTCTTTGATGTTCTAGGCCTGTGCTGGAGGCGGTGATGGGCTGCATGTGGACCAATAAGCTGAAGGTGAATCCCAAAAAGATGGAGGTGATATGTGTCTCAAGTCTTCACATACAGGAGGTGACCTGCCCTGAATGGGGTGGCACTTCCCTGGAAAGAGCAGGTTCACAGTTTGCGGGTACCCCTGGCTTCAAAACTGTTGTCTGTAGGCTCAGGTGGCCTTAGTGGTAGCAGTACCTTCCCCCCAGCTCTAGTTGATTTGCTGGCTACATTCTTTGATGAGCAAGAGATGACATGTTCGCTGTCCTCCATGCTCTGGTAACTTCCATACTGGCGTATAGCAATACACTGTTACTTGGAGCTGTCCTTGAAGATGACTTGGAAACTTCAATTGGTCCAAAATGCAGCAGCCAGATTACTGACTGTGGTTCTGTTTAGATCTCAAATAACTGTCCCATTTTGCCACCTGAGGTGAGATGGGAAGAGCTGCCTCCTGCCCTGCCCCCCTGCCACGCTCCAACCCCTCACCTCCACTGATATCAGAACACCCCACCTCACCAAACTCAGCAAGGGGAGGGATGTTCTGCAAGGTGCTCTCACTTGCCTTCTCTAGCCCAGAGGCAGGAAGATCACTGGCAATGCAGGACTCCAGAATGCCTGTTCTGAGCACACCAGCCCCCCTAATGAGGACGCACAATTGAAAGTTTAGTTCAGGGGTCGGTAAGGTTTATTTTGCCTGGGCTGGTTCACTGCAGCGGAAATCCCTCTGTGGGCCAGATCGCAGCTGCGATTTCCAGCATCTGCATCTGCGCAGATGCAGTTTTTGGCACCATGGAAGTGAGTCCCCGTTCCGCTCTGCGCCGGTTTAGCACAGCGCACAGGGACTCACCGAGCGAGCGGCTCAGTTTGGGGGTGGCTCGTGGACTGGTTAAACGACCCCCGTGGGCCACTTGTGGCCCATGGGCCTTAGGTTGCCGACCCCTGGTTTAGTTCTTTATTGGCAAAGCACTTGGTTACATCAGCTTCTAGGACGAAATAATCACATGCACTGCTTCTGCTAAATAGCTAGCTGGGCGTCTGTGTCTTCAGACCTGTGCTCCAACCCAGACAGTTGGAGCAGCAGTGTGACCTCATCTCCACCAGCACATTAAACGCCTTCTTCTGACATGGCGCATGCAAGCAGCCAGCCGCTTCTCCTGCATGACAGCTTCAGCAGATTCTAATGGCTAAGCACTCCCACCTCTGTGCCTTCTTGCAACTCTATCGCCTGCCTCACCTCTCTTCCCATCTCTGGCTACCTGGCCTCTTCCTTTCCCCCCTGCTTCACAGGTGGCACAGAACCCCACAAATCACTGGCCCCTTCCCCTAGATTACCTCATGCCTGCCCCCTCCTCTGCCCCCCCTTCGGGCTCCTGCCTGTCCTTCACAACGCCCCTTCTCTTGCCAAACTTTCCCAGAGAAGGGGCGTTCTGCAAACTGTTTCTGCTCACCTTCTCCACCCCAGGGCTGGGAGGATGAGTGGCAACAGGGTGTGCTGGAATGCCTCTCCTCTCACGAGAGAGTTGGCATTCTGCTAGTGGTGGAAGCAATGGGGTGGGCAGGACAGCACCTTTTGTGCTTCCACCATGTGAGGCTGGTGCTTCCCCCTGCCTCATCTTTAGGCCAGGTCTGACCTCTGTTTTAAAACAGCTTCACTGGTTTCTGAGCCCACTGCAGAGTGCTCATTTTATGTTTAAAGCCTTAAATGATTCAGCCCCGCCAAATATCTGGAAGACCGCCTTCTTCCATACAGACCCTCTCAGGTGCTTAGATTGGCAAGGTGGGGACCTCTTGGAAGTTCCTTTGGCCCCCAAGACACACAAGGTGGTGGTGGCCCAGCAGAGGGCGTTCTCTGTGACAGCCCCTAAGTCGTGTAACTCCTTCTCTAAAGCTTCTAGCAAATACTGTAGATGAATCTCTCCATCCTGGTATTTGACACTCTAAGTCAGGCATAGGCAAACTCAGCCCCTCAGATGTTTTGGGACTACAACTCCCATCATCCCTGACCACTGGTTCTGTTAGCTAGGGATGATGGGAGTTGTAGTCCCAGAACATCTGGAGGGCCGAGTTTGCCTATGCCTGCTCTAGGTGAATATTTTTAGGACACCTCCCCCCCCTTTCTGTGATTGTAAGTTGTTTTAAACTGTTTTTAATATTGTGTTTTAATGTTGTAACCTACCCTGGACCTTAGGGTGAAAGGTGGTTAATAATAATAACAACAATAACAATAATAATAATAATAATTAGTATTAGTATTAGTATTGGGCAAATAAAATGGCAGCTGGCAGAAACCTTAAGAGCCTCTTTCTACCTCAGTGATGAAGTAATATTCATGAAAGTGGAGGGTCATCCGCCTTTGCCTCAGGTAAAAATAATATGTACAGTATTTGGTATCTGGGAGGTTGTTTCCTCTCTGGTTGAAACTTCCCACATTCCAACCAGTGTGATTTTTATTTTTAAAAAAAGTTTTAACCATTTATGTGGATTTTAAATGGAGAGACTTACAGGTAATCAAAGAGCACTGGGCAAACTGGGTTCTGAGGCAGCAATGTGCTGGCACGCTCTCTCAATTTCTCACCTGGAAGAAATAAGGACCTACCAGACAGGTTGATGGAACGATAAACAAGGTTGTTAACATGCTGCCTACCAGACAGCAATTATAAAGATACCTAACGTCAAACAGCAGTAGACATCTTGTCCCAACATCCCTACTTAACCAATGGACAGTCCTGATCCTGGAACGCTTCCATATTACGTACCTGCTTTACTGGGCGTTTGTTCTGTAGGGCTGCAGCTCAGTGGCAGAGCTTCTGTTTTGCATGGGGAAGATCCTGGGTTCAACTCCCAGCACCTCCAGATGGGAGAGGCTCTTTCCTGAAACCCTGGAGAGCCACTGCCTGCCAGTGTAGACAATACTGAGCTAGATGGGTCAATGGTCTGTCTCGCTATAAGGCAACTTCCTGTGTTCCTGTGCTGTGTTCTGTCCCCACTGTTGGAGCCAATATGCCTCTGAATGTCAGTTGCTGGGAATCACAAACAGGGAGAAGGCTGTTCTTCTGCTTGCCGACATCTGGTTGGCCAATGTGACAACAGGATGTTAGGCTAGACAGGCCACTGGCTTGATCCAGCAGGCTCTTCTTATGTTTTTGCGTTCATTGCGCAAACCCAAATTTGCCGGTAAACCATGAGCTGTTGGTTTGACTGCAGTAATGTCCCACAAGAATTGTTTGCTCCTGTTGTAAGAATTATATGCTCCATGTGTATTATTTCCTCCATACTTGGATCCCACGGCCCTGTATAGGAAGAAGCTATGATACTGTAATGTAGGGGTAGCCAACACGAAGCCCTCCAGGTATTATAGGACTCCCATAAGTCACAGCTGGCAAGGCTGATGTCTATGGCTGATGGGCGCTGTAGTCCAAGCTCATGTGGAGGGCACCATATTGGCTGTCCCTGTTATAAGATAGAGAACTGTTGTTGTTTAGTCGTTTAGCTGTATCCGACTCTTCGTGACCCCATGGACCAGAGCACACCAGGCACTCCTGTCTTCCACTGCCTCCCGCAGTTTGGTCAGACTCATGTTAGTAGCTACCAGGTTGCAACTGAAGAGCCTGCCTTTATCTTTAGAGGTACTACTGAAGCAGGGAAGGTTGCCAAGTCCCATCACTCAGCCTCCCTTCTCATCTGCTATAGGTCAGAATTTGCACACATACACATATGGGGCATCTGAAATTTCTGAAGAGAGATAATGGAGGGGCCAAAACTCAGTGGTAGTAGAGCATGCAGAGCACACACTTGCATGCAGAATGTCCTGGCTTTGATCCCTGGCATCTCTTACTAAAAGGCAGATGTCATGTGATATGATAGAACTCTGCCTGAGACCCGAGAGATCCGCTGCCCGTCCGAGTAGGCAATGCTGTGCTTAGATGGACAAATAGTCTGCCCTGGTACATGGCATTTTTTCTATGTGCCTAGCCTTCACAAGACTCTGAAGAGCATTGGTGCCACTGGCGAACCATGTTGACAAGTGAATTGTGAAGCACAGGTTGGGAAAACAACTTTTTGTGTGGGTCCTGAATGGTCATTGAATGAGGAAGGACCACAGGTCAGTGATGGAGCATCTTCTTTGTATGTAAAAAGTTCCAAGTTCAAACCCCAGCATCTCCAGGTAGGGCTGGGAATGTTCCCCACCTGAAATCCTAGAGAGATGCTGCCGATCTGTGTAGACAATAATGAGCTAGATGGACCAATGGTCTTACTTGCTTTGAGGCAGCTTCTTCTGTTCCTTCTTTTAGCAGAAATCCTGTGGTCCACCAATCTGTGTTAAGGCAAGATTACATACTCAGGATCTCTCATTATTTCACAATTTTTAAAATCTTGCCCACATTAAGCTTACATGAAATCGAGTTCCTGAAACAAACCATTGGTATAAAAAACATGACGGAAATAACCACAAAGTTTTTGTTTTGTTTTGTTGCAGCTTTTGCCCAGCCAGGCACAGCTGATCGAATAATTGGAGGGTACGTTTGTCCACAACAGTCCAGACCTTACCAGGCGGCCATTGTAACTGGACGCAGAGGCAACTGGAACATTTATTGTGGAGGAAGCTTAGTGCATCCATGTTGGGTGCTCTCAGCAGCCCATTGCAGACCCAGACCCGGGTAAGTGAAGGCTGTAGCAAGATGCAGCGACACGGAGGGGGAAAGAATGCTTCCTCTGGGACAAGCAACAGCCTTACTTTAACAGCCTGGCAATCTGACAAAGAGGCATAAACTGGATTGATCTCTGATCAGCATTCACACAGCTCATCCACAATCTATTCTTTTGTTCAGTTTTGCATTTGCCTTGTGCCCCCATACAGAATGAAGGTGTGCTTAGGAAAGCACAACTTGAAGAGGGTTGAACAGGGAGAACAGTGCTTGGATATCGCTGAAGTTAAAGTGTACCCAGGGTACAACCGGAGACAAAATGACAAGGATTTCATGCTTCTCCGACTTCGCCCCTGTGCCAGACTTTCCGAAACTGTAAGGACTATCAACCTACCTACAAGCAGCCCTACTGACGGGAGTATATGCAGTGTCTCGGGCTGGGGTACCATCAGATCTCCTCAAGGTAAGCTTGCAAACTTTAGAAGGTGGGAGGGGATACTAACATATCTAAAGAACTTCTTGTTGTTGGTATTAAAGTTTTCAGCAATGTGTTCTTCAAAGTCTTTTTTTAGCATCTCTTTCTGTCTGCTTGGACTTTTTTTTGTTTTGTTTCACCACTACCACTGACCTTTTGGTGCTCTACATATCTCTTCCAGCTCAGCTTCCAGCTCAGCTGCAGTGTGCAGATGTCAACGTTGTCCCAACATCACAGTGTAATATGGCGTATCGTGGTGCTATTACACCGTTCATGATGTGTGCTGGAGTACAGGAAGGAGGCACAGACTCTTGCCAGGTGAGAGGAGGGCTGATGTGAAGATGGACTACACCTTTTGAGAGGTTGAAAAAGGGTTAGGGTCATAAGCATGGACAGATCAATCTGTTTTTGGTCCCTGTCAGATTCACACATTTTCATTTACTAGCCTGTTCCCTCCCATTTCTGCATCACTCTGCATTTATTTATTTTTAATGTATGGAATTTATTATTATTACAGTCGTACCTTGGAAGTTGAATGGAATCCATTCCGGAAGTCCATTTGACTTCCAAAATATTCAAAAACCAAAGCGCGGCTTCTGATTCGCTGCAGGAAGCTCCTGCAGCGAATCAGAAGCCGTGAAAGCCCTGCTCTGGACGTTCAGCTTCCAAAAATATTTCACAAACCGGAACAGTCACTTCCAGGTTTGCAACGTTCGACTCACAAGGCGTTCAAAAACCAAGGTACGATTGTGTTGTTGCTGTTGTTGCTGTTGTTGTTATCGTTATCGTTATCATTTATTGAATTTATATACCACCCTATACCCAGAGGTCTCAGGGCAGCTCATAGAACAAAATCATAATATAAAACCACAAAATATATCATCAAATAAAAACAACAACCCAATAACACCCCCCCCCCAGTTAGATAGCAAATCTGTGTTTAGGTCTCTAAGGCAGAGATCAGCAACTGATGGGCACCAGAGGTGCACCCACTCCACCAAATCCCTCTTCAATCCCACCTTGCCATGCAACTTACTTGTAGGTTTTCCAAAAGAAAAGGGTCAATGGGGAAAGCTTTTTAGAAAGAAAAGGCCTTGGCGGGTGGGTGTTACCTACAGGACAGTATGTTGCTGACCTCTTCTCTAGGGTCAACCTCTTCTCTAGGGTCAAAACAAACTAAAGGGCCAGTATAGGCAGCTTATTTCTTTTGGAAGATTTTGTGCACATTTTATCCTAAAATATGCATTTTTAGTGCACATTTTGGTACAGTGATACCTCAGGTTACAGGCACCTCGGGTTACATACACCTCGGGTTACAGACACTTCGGGTTACAAACTCCGCTAACCCGGAAGTAGTACCTCGGGTCAAGAACTTTGCCCCAGGATGAGAACAGAAATCACGCTGTGGCGGTGCGGCGGCAACAGGAGGCCCCATTAGCTAAAGTGGCACCTCAGGTTAAGAATGGTTTCAGGTTAAGAACGGACCTCTGGAACGAATTAAGTTCCTAACCAGAGGCACCACTGTACATTTTTGCACGGAGAACCATATTCAAAATTCAGATGAGGACAACTTCTTCTAGTACTATTTTTCTTCTAGTACTTCCCCAAAGCAGGAGGCCACTGCTAGCAGCCAAGAAGGAGAGGGGCAAGATGGCAGGGAGGTCAGTGAGGTGTACTGCGTTGTCTCCGCTGTCGCACCTGCACTGCACCTGCACTGCACTATCCTTCTTACCCTCTCCCTCTTGGTTATAGGCCTTGGCGCTGGGAAGCCAGGGAAGCAGCCCCATCAACCACTCTGACCAGATTGAATGTGAAACCTCAAGCACACAAAACTACACTCTGCCACTGAGCAATTGCTCTCCCCTGGTGAACATAACAGACCCAAGTATGCTTGCTATGTTATGCAAAACAAAGCAGGCCATTTAACTGAGTTTAAGTAGCACCATGTAGAGGAAGACACAGAATGGAGACGTGCACCTGCTGAAAACTTCTTCCATTTCTCCATGCAGGGTGACTCTGGGGGCCCACTCACCTGCGGGGGGCAACTCGAAGGTGTGGTTTCTTGGGGAACACAAGTCTGCGCACAGAGAGGGAACCCGGGTGTGTATGCAAAAGTGTGCTGTGTCGTGCCATGGATCCGGGAGACGATCAATCAGAATTCGTGATGAACCTCAACGGAAGAAAAAGCTTCAGCCAAAAGACCCTGAAATCAGGGGAGGGGAAAATTTCAGGGAAAAGACCCTGGCGATCAATTGTCCCCCTTGCACATCAGTTTTTTCCTTCCTTTGCTGGTGAAGGATGTTCCACCTCTGGCAAACTTTGGCCAAGCTCCACCCAAGGCTGGCTCTAAGCTATTTTTTCTGCTGAAAATGAACATTACTTTGGCTGCACCACCCATTCCTCATTGTGTTGTATTAGGGGGACAGAATTTGTATGCGTTATAAGTTAATGGAGTGAATGAGAAAAGTTGTAAGAGGAGAAATTAAGGCAGGGTTTAGGACACAGTGTCCCTGTTTGGAGAGGTCCATGTGATTGTGGAATGACCTTGTTTTAAGAGGGAAGAGATTTCCAAGAAAATGCAGTATACTAATACACGTTATTATGCTGATTTAAAGAAAAAAACCCACCCTGGCTTTGCATTCATACTTTCCATTTAATTCACAAATTCTTATGTGCATACAGTTGGATGCATGGCTGCAGCCCCAAGAAACAGTCCCATTCTCATTTCATAAGCTCTGAGAGAACATTAGCATCTTCCATTCAATAAGCTCCGCTGTTCATCAATATTATCCTGCCAACTATTGCCACACTTGGTGTTCACTCTAGCAGTGCCACTCTATGTTTACTCAACTGTTATGGAACATCTATATATTTAAATATGTGTTTCGGAACATATTTTCTGACAAAATGTGCTTTTTATTAATGTTTTTGGGTTTTTTTTGAGCTGAAAGCTGCATTGCAACATTGGGAATAGTGCAACAACAAGGAGAATTGCATTCACATCCATACATTAGTCCAAAACAATGCAAACCTGGTCGTCACTCCCACTAGTGTGGATGGAACACAACAGGTTGTCCTCTTAGCAAAATGCACTGTCCCTAAATCAGCTGGAGTTCTCCACAGAGCTTACAGTGCAACAGCAACGACTGCATAAACTTGGCAGCACAGAAAATGTTTCAGGTTCAAAGCAAAGACTCCTTCTGAATTCTCTGTTGACAAGACATTCCACAGGACAGTGCCAATGACACGAAAGTTTCTTGCTGCTGTCAGATAAGCCTCGCAAACTTGGGGAACCATCAGTGATGCCCCTGAAGGCGATCTCAGTGATCATGCTGGCATATAAAGCAGTACCCTGGACCTAAGTTGTTCAGGGCCTTGTAAATTAATACCCTACCTTCCCAGGCCACACCCCCTCACCAGCCTTGCTTCACATTCTTGAGTGTGTTTGTTTGGTTGGATTGTGTCCAAATTACTTTTGCTTGCCTGGATGGCGGACAGAGAAGGGTGTGTGAGCGGGCGTAGAAACTAGCCTCCTGCACAAAGGTAAAATTTATGTTCATTGCTCCACCCTCTCCTCTTGCCTCTGGTCCCACCCACTATTGGCATGCGGATTCCAAAAGTGTCCCCATCCCTGTTTTAGATGGGCCAGATTTAGGTTTTATGAGGCCCTAAGCTGCTGAAGGTCCAGGTGTCCTTTGTCAACAACAAATTGTCACTGTTTTTTGTGTTGAATGTATACTACATGGTAATTTATGGACCTAGATACAACTAGTCCATGCAGAATGTAGGCACCCTATATAAAGAAATGAGCAAATCAGCGATATTTTAGGGAGCAGGCTGGCAGGCAGGCCCCATTACTTACATCATAGGAGCCTACACAACACAAAAGACTGTTGCTGTATGTAGGTTTTATTTTATTTGTTTTTATCTTATATTTTGGAAATGGACATCCAGTTTTTTCCCCTTTAATTTTTTGGGGGGCTCACAAGAGAGTGGGGCCCTAAGCTATAGCTTGTTTAGCTTATACATAAATCTGGCACTATGTCAGGCTGCACAGAAGCAGAACTAGTTTTTAAAAGTGTCCGGAACCTATTAAAGTCTGATCCACCAAGGTAAGGATGTTCTGACTGCAACTGGAGACTGCAATAAGGTCCCTGACAGATGGAAATGTTCAAGTTAAAAACGTAAGAAGATCTTTCCCTGTTGGGAACTATGAAGAGCACAGTGCATTGGGTAAGATGCCGTGGTGCAAATGAGGAATTCCACGGTTTCGCTCTCATCTCCGCCACGAACCGATCTTGGGCGTCAGCCTCAGTCCCTCCATCTGCAATATGGGGACGCAATGTGGACTTACCTTTGCAGAACTGTTGTAAGGATTAAAATTAGATCATGTATGTGATGTCTCTTCAACATCTGGAAGTGCTAGGAACATGCAGGAGATAGCTAGATCTTAGTTGCAGCGCAGACTGAGAGGCCTTGCCCATGTGGATCACTTGATCTGCCTTTGAAATGTTCTCCCCATCACTGATTATTTGTTCCTGACAGAGGCTCCTGGGCCTTTAACAAGGGCATCATATTGTTATGCTCATCCCACTTCTCTAACTGATGAGAAGCTCCTGGAGTGCAGCCCTTGCCCATGCTCAAACCCCTTTGGATGGACGTCCCTGGAGGCTTGTCATAATGTTTTCACTTATTTACAAATATATGGGTTGATTATCATTGGAAGCATAGGTTGAACACTCCAGGAGACAGCCAAAGTCCATAGAGAGACAGTCACTGGCACCCTATGATGCTTGCAGAGTTCAAGCTCAGCTCTCTGTGTCTTTCTCTATCTCAAAGGGAAGTCTGTCCTTTTCATGAAGACATCTAGACCACATCAACCTTAGCTTGGGTTGGGGAAGAGGTACAAACCTTTCAGGTATTTCTTAGTCTTTCAGAAGTCCAGCTGTTGAGCAACATCAGCCAATCTGCCTAATGAAAGGCAAACTTCCTGCTTTTGTTAGGACTGTTGTTTTCCAGCTCCATTAACACTCCCCTTTCCAATTCTACACACACAGAGTCTTAAAATATATTATATCAGGGGTTGGAGCACCTGTTGTCAGACTCCCATCATCCCTAGGGATAGGTGAATGGGTCAATTTCAGTTTCTCATTTTTTCCCAATCTTAAGTTCAGCTCTCCACATTTCCACAACAGTTTGCAATTAAAAACAAAAACAAGCCCTCATGAAAATCCGGAAGCGCTTTAGTACAAATTTCCCTTAATATACACATTGTTGCATGCATTTTTTTCCTAACATGCACATTTCTGCAAAGCAATTTCCCCATATTGAATGCATTTTGGTATGCTATTTCCATTAATATGTGCATTTATATGCACACTTTACCTTAGTGCATGCATTTTTTAACACGCTACTTGGCACTGCAAAATTCAGAAAAGTGTGAATTGTGAAGGAGGGCTGTGCTTTGTTTGTGTGTTTTTTCATAGAATTCAGATTCAGTCAGTTTGCCTCTAAATACAAACTTCATGGAATTTCTCACCCATCTCTAATCAACCCTAGTGATTGGGCATACTGGTAAGAGTTGGAGTCCAACACCTGGAGGGCCAAAGGCTCCACATCCCTGCCTTATACAGGTCTGGAGAATTTGGCTACCTTGTCATGGGGATGGACCAAATGTGAGTCCTGAGGTTTTTAGCCAGCCCTAGGCCATGCCTCTTCCCAGGCCACACCCCCGATGCATCCCCTCCTTGCCAGACTGAAGAGGGTCCTTGAACTGTGAAGACGCCTCGCTCCACTTTTGCCTCTGGCCTTACCCACCACTGGCTTGTGCCCTCATTCCCGAAAGGTTCCTTATAAGGGAATGTGGCCCTTAGGCATAAAAGCCCCCACCCCACCCCTGTTTTATAATTTCAGCAGAAACAGGGTATAAAACAGCAGACAACTGCTGTGATCATGCCCTGCTTGCAAGCAGGGGCAGATTTAGGGCTGTGTGAGTGGTATGCACATACAGTGGTACCTCGGGTTACATATGCTTCAGGTTACATACGCTTCAGGTTACATACGCTTCAGGTTACATACGCTTCAGGTTACAGACTCCGCTAACCCAGAAATAGTACCTCATGTTAAGAACTTTGCTTCAAGATGAGAACAGAAATCGTGCTCCAAAGGTCCGGCGGCAGCAGGAGGCCCCATTAGCTAAAGTGGTGCTTCAGGTTAAGAACAGTTTCACATTAAGAACAGACCTCCGGAATGAATTAAGTACTTAACCTGAGGTACCACTATACTAGATGTTGAGCCGGGGGGAGCAGCTTCTCAAAGCCCAGGAAGCAAGGTGCCAGGTTTGGGGGAAGAGGTGTGAACCTCTGACAGAGTCCTAGAGTCCACCTCCCTCTTTCCCAAAGCTTGGTTATCACTTACCCAGCTTTGGGAAGGATGTGGAAGGGCTCTAGGATCCTGCCAGAGCCTTGCACCTTCTTCCCAAAGCCCAGCGCCTCAGTTAGCCAGATTTGGGAAGGCAGCAAGGAGGCCGGAGGGTGTTGGCCTTGCACAGGGCACCATATTACCCAAGTCCACCACTGTTGCAAGCTTCCAAGGCGTTTGAAGACAAAGAGCACTGGACCACACAGCCTTTTTTGCTGTGATCTGGTTAGGCAACTCATAAGTTCAATTCACTCTTAATGACTCCATGTCATTGCTCAACTTCTGTATTTATATATACCTTTAACTCTTCTGAACTAGCATGAGAGGAGGGAGTTTCTGTACCTCCACCAGGATAGGGGTTGCCACCAGGGGGCAGGAATGCACTCTCTTGAAAAACAAGCAATGCTCACAGACAGGGGTGCTCCTATCTAGGCAAGGTCCCCCAAGGTTGCACTGCAGCCTTTGCCAACCTGGTGCCCTCTAGATATTTTGGACAACAACTCAGAAGTTGAGGCGCACGTACACTCACACACAGGCCCCAGCCAGGATGGAGGCACAGAAACTAGAAAGAATGCAACAAGGGGTTTTCAAAAGTGCCAACCAATAAGATTTATTACTCCTTGGTGTGCTTTGGAACACAGGTTCCTTGTTTGGGAGCAATCCTAAACCTTTGCAGTTCTGCAAAAGAGCTGAAGTGGCTTGCGCAACTAGACACAGTGCTGGAAATGCAGCAAGCTGAGCAGGT